CCCCTGCCCCCTCTGGCCCAAGCAGACCACTTAGCTCTTGGTCCCGGTATGCCCGGCCCTGCTCTCCTCTGCACCTTGGCTCACACTGTCCTCCATGGTGCTCCTCCCCCTAGCCCACTGCTCTCGGCGGGGTTGGCGCTCCTAGGGCTTGGTTACAGCCCTGCAGGCCCTCTGTCCTGCCACAGGTGAGGCCCGCTTCCACGGTCGGTGCCCATGGGGCCACTGGAGCGTGGCTCTCGGCGGGATGTGTTCACGGGCTTGATCTGTGTTCGGCAAGCAGCCTCGCCGTGAGGTGGTGTTACCCTGGTTAACAGAAGAGGCCGCTAGGGATCGGAGAGGGTGAGGGACTTGCCCCAGGTCACACAGGTAGGAAGTCTCAGAGTCGGCAGGCCTCCTATGTTCGGGTTCAGTCCCCCCTTGTAGCACCAGTGCTGTCTGTGCACGCTGCGGGCACGGTAAGGGTCCACTGATGGAGCTGCTGTGGGTGCCAGGGGAGACCTGGTGCTGGGACGTATGGCAGCTTACCTGGGGCCACGGCTGCTCTCAGGTGACAGGCTGGGGAGGGAAGGTGTGGGACACGGGAGATGGGGGACGCACCGTTAGCATCAGCCCAGAGAAGACCTGGGACCTCTGGGTGGGAGACGCTCGGGCTGCCTGGCCTCAGCTCACCAAAGCGCTTCCTGGGCCTTGACCTCTGTGCATCGGAGAGAGGGTGCCTGAGAGACCTGGGAAAGGGCTTCCTGGCCATGGGGAGGGCTGACAGGCTTGCGTGCATCTGCCCCAGGGATGACATCAGGGCATGGGCTCTATGGGGGTGTGGGGGCAGCGTGGAGAGATGCAGAGAAAAGCACGGCCGGACCTAGCCCTGCACCTCAGCGAGCTCCTTTCAGTGACCCCGCCTCTCGGAGCAGGCCGGGAGGAGGCCGGGAGGAAGTGACCTCTGGAGGACGGTGTCAGCCCTGCAGGCCTGGGGAGGGTGCTAGCAGACGTTGGCTCCCTCCCCACCGCTCCGCCGCTGCGGAGGCCAGGCTCAGGGCTCTGGTCCCTGGGGCCACTCTGTTGCTAAGATTGTGTCTCTGCGCCCTCGTCCTGCAGTTGCAGACGGTTCCCAGCCTCCGATTTAGTAACTTGGACAGACCGGGATGTCTGGAGGAGGAGGGCTTTTTTCCCATGGATCACGGGAGGGAGGGGGGGATGTTCCAGGGTCCTGGGAGAGGACAGGCATTGCCCCTACGTGTGCCCGGTGAGTGTGCGGAGGGGAGAGAGGACGGGCTGAGGGAGCGTGCTCGGCCCTCCTCCCCACCTGCTTCTCCAGTCCCTGAGCTGCCTGGAGGGATGAGGTGGAAGCTTTAGGCTTTTCTGACTCCCACCCCACCGCCACAAGGATCCATCATAGAGACCTTGGGGAGCCCTGCACCATCCTTCTGATGATGCTCTGCGTTGGTTTGTGAACGTGTGTGTGAGCGCGCGCGCGCGCGTGTGTGTGTATGTGTGTGTGTGTGTGTGTGTGCGCCTGTGCGTGTGACTGTGTGTGTCAATGAACACCGGGTACAGACTGTCTCTACCCCAGGGATAACGTTAGGACACGGTGAACACATCCCCCCGCCACACGCCTGGTAGTAGCTGTACTTTTGGGGCTCACTGGCTGAGTAAATACATGATAATGAAGACGACCGGGTGTTCAGCTGCTTTAAAAAGCTGTATTCATTTTCATTGTTGATGTATAATGTATTGGCTCTATGTACATAGTGCACTTCAGTTATGTTTTTCAAATCAACATGTTCTTTAAAAAAAAAAAAAAGAAAAAAATATATATATATATATTTACATTGATTTCAGAGAGAAAGGGAGAGGGAGAGAGAGAGAGAGAGAGAAAAACATCAACGATGAGAGAGAATCACTAGTTGGCTGCCTCCTGCACGCTCCGCACCGGGACCGAGCGCGCATGTGCCCTGATGGGAATCAAACCGGGACCTCCTGGTTTTCATAGGTTGATTCAACCACTGAGCCACCCTGCCTGGGCTCAACTTGTTCTTTATGCGTACACCTGTGTCCGTGTGAAATGGGATTTTACGTACTTTAGAAGATACGTATTCGGTGCATCTGTGTATCTGATTCTCTCTGTGACCCCGTTCTCTAGGTCAGGTGGGTGAGGCCGAGGGCATGGCTGGCACCTTTGTGCAGCCCCTTTTGTACCGGGTGCCAGGCTAGGCATGCAGTAAGCACTTACTATTGAAAAGGGGAGGAAAGCCGAAACCGGTTTGGCTCAGTGGATAGAGCGTCGGTCTGCGGATTGAGGGATCCTGGGTTCGATTCCTGTGGCCTTGTCACCACATTGGGTTTGGGTCCTGCTTGGTATTTATTGGAGTCAGAGTGAGGTGTGTTGAGCGCCCTCCCTGGTTCTACCCGCCCCGTGACTTTGAACCTGTCATGCGCCATCTTCTTGACTTCTCTCGTTCATCTGTAAGTGCCCGGTGTGACCGCTGTTGTGTGGATGGCGTGAGGTGAGACACAGGAGCCTGGGGACCCACAAAATATCGCCCCGCGTGGTCTATGCTCCTCATCTCTGTCCAGTCCAAGAGCAAACAACTGGGCAGGTGGCAGAGCGACAGGGCGGCAGGCTCGCCGATCACAGCTTCCTGGGAGATTGGACTTGGGAGCACAGAGTGGGGGACCCCTTCTCTCAGGAGCCTCTGCGCCCTGGGCTTTATCTGTCCCGACATCAGCCCCTCCCCCCCACCTGCTCCGCGCTCACAGGCAGGGACTGGGACCCGCGCTCACAGGCCCTGTCTCTCTGGGACCCCGTTCTCTAGGTCAGGTGGTGGTGCCCGCTCCTGCCCCCACCTGCAGTCTGGGGAGGAAAGACGCGATTCAGATCTACAGGAGCCGCGGGCTCCGAGCCACGCCGGCCCCTGGGACAGCCACTCGCTCTCTGGGCAGCTGCCTCTCGGCCCTGCCCGCTGGCCCTGGCTCTGCCCCCGGGGCCTGCCTTCGGAGAGAACGCATGCCCAGTTGAGAATTTCTCCCTTCCTGAGCAGCCACGGATCTTCAGATGTGCCTCTTACTAGAGGCCTTTCCTCCCAATTCTCCCCGCCCCCCTTCACCCAGGCTGGTCACACGGATTGGGGCCAGTAGGACCCATTTGGTAGCGTCCAGGGCCTGGCTCCATGCCTGGGTGATCTACCTGGACAGCCGGCCAGAAGAGGCAGCAGGTGAACAGGGTGAGGTGTCTGATGGACGAGGGGCTTCGTCGGCTTATTTATTGATTATTCTCGAGTGGCTGCCATGGAGCTTGGGCTTCTGAATGGTCAAATACCCACCCGATGGGCAGTGGGCTCTGCTGAACCAATCATCTCCGCCCGGACCACCAGCTCAGCCACACCCCTCCCTTTCTCCCTCTCTTTTTAAAAAAAAAATTTTTTTTATTGATTTCAGAGAGGAAGGGAGGAGAGAGAGAAACATCAGTGATGAGAGAGAATCATTGATCGATTGCCTCCTACATTCCCTCCATGGGGATCGAGCCCGCAACCTGGGCATGTGCCCTGACTGGGAATTGAACCGTGACCTCCTGGTTCATAAGCTGATGCTCAACCACGGAGCCACGCCAGCCGGGCAAAGAGCTGGTTTCTTGAGCTGGACCTGGGCTGCCTTCCCTCCCCTCTGCTTGGAGAGACCCACTCCCTCTCCAGAGTTCACGTCCAATGCTGGCTGCCCACGAGGGCTTTTCCAGCACGTTCTCCCCTCCCCTTCTGCCCCCAGACTCCTGGGTTCACTGTCTGGGCCATTCAGTTTGTCCCGGAAGCATCTCCGGCCTCTGGCGGTCCTTCTGCTGTGTGGTGTGTGTACAACTCGCTTCCGGCGAGCTGCTGAGCTCCCGGGAGGCCGAGGGCATGGCTGGCACGTTTGTGCAGCCCCTTTTGTACCGGGTGCCATGCTAGGCATGCAGTAAGCACTTACTATTGAAAAGAGGAGGAAAGCCGAAACCGGTTTGGCTCAGTGGATAGAGCGTCGGTCTGCGGATTGAGGGATCCTGGGTTCGATTCCTGTCAAGGGCATGTACCTTGGTTGCAGGCACATCCCTGGTGGGGGGTGTGCCGGAGGCAGCTGGTCGTTGTTTCTCTCTCATCAATGTTTCTGGCTCTCTATCCCTCTCCCTTCCTCTCTGTGAAAAATCAATAAAATATATATATATATATATATTTAAAAAGAATTTATAAAAGAAAAAAAAGGAAAGAGGAGGAAGGGGGTGATGAGTGAGCTGGGAAAGCAGGTGAGATGGCTTGTCGTCAGTTTCGATGGCCTCTTTGGGATGTGTCCTTGGTCCTCATTCCTGGAGGTCGAGCAGTGAGTGGACAGAATCGGCCGAGGTGTCCTGGTCTCAGGGAGCAGCTTCAAGAGCCTCCTTTCCAGTGACAGCCCTTCTCGGGGTTTCCCTTCTGTGTACCAGCATGTGTGTGTGCGTGTGTGTGTTTGCGTGTGACGTCTGTTGGTGCGTCGTCTGGAAGGAAGCAGGGTAGCCGGTAGCTGTCCAGGAGAAGGCTGCCAAGCCCACAGAGGAGCCATGGCGCACGTGTGCCTTAGCCTGTGGCTGTGTGACTGGTGTGCGTGTGAGGCCTTGGCAGTCCTCTGGTGGCACGGGCCAGCATCACTGCGCCGCTGGGCTGGGCTCGCCGGGCTGACCTGGCAGCACAGGACCGATGGCTCTCAGAGCTGCCAGTGGGAGATGAGCAGAGTCCACAGGGCAGGCCCCAGGATCTGAGACCCAGAGCTGGGAATGGTGGGACAGGGGGAGAGGGGGGTTCATATGATGGCTGCCTCTCAGTGCATTTCCTCACGGGCCCTTGGGGGAGGGTGTTCCCCATAAGCCTGAGCATCCAGAGCCACCCTGGCCCCCTCCCCCGGCTTTCCGTTCCTGCTCCCGTGGTCCCGTGTTTGGGGAGGACTGGGGTGAGGGGCTCAGGGACAAGCCACGGGTGCTCCATGCCCACCCTGCCCTGCAGCCCGAGGAACTCACCAACGCCCTGGAGATCAGCAACATCGTCTTCACCAGCCTCTTTGCCCTGGAGATGCTGCTGAAGCTGCTCGTGTACGGCCCCTTTGGCTACATCAAGAACCCCTACAACATCTTCGATGGTGTCATTGTTGTCATCAGGTATGACCGCCCTGCACTGCCTCTGGCCTGCAGAGCGTCCATGGGGCGGCTTGGGGCCAGGAGCCACACAGCCTGTCCCAGGGGTCCCACTGTCCCACAGGCCCTGTCGCTCCCCCAGATGGGGGACTCTCTGTCCCCCCAAGCTCCACCCCACCCTGGTCCTACCCTGCTCAGGAGGGTCTTAGCCTCACATCTCCTATGGCCAAGCCCCTCTGGAGTCTCCTCTTCCCACTTCTACTTCCTGTCCTCACCCCCACGCAGGCCTAGGGGGTGGGGGGTGAGGTCTGAGGAGTTGGCCTTGGAGAGGAGTTGGAGGCGGTCAGAGGCCCAGCCAGCCATCCTTGCTTGCAAAGTGCTTGGAAACCATCTCAGACGCCGGCAGCTTGCTTTCAGGGTTTCCAAAACCTCGGGAAAGTGCTCCGTCCCCTCACGCCAGGAGCCAGGAGGACCGCTTTATTGCTTTTTGGAACTGGCGTTAGATTTCATTAGGAGAGAACAAAGCGAATATTCCATAACCTGATGCCGTTGCATTGGCCGATGGAGGGAGAGGGTGGGCCCCTGCCGGGCTGTGCGATCTCTGGCTTGGCAGGGAGGGCGGCGAGGGCTGGGGCTGTCCCCCAGATCCTTGACACCTCAGAAGCCCCCCCCCCATCCACCCCCCCGGGCTGTGCCAGCCCGTCCAGGCCCCGGGTGCGGCGGGCCCCTCGTAAAGGGAGGGGCGGCGGAGGGCGGGCGTGCGCCGGCTCAGGCTCCCGCCCCCCTTGCAGCGTGTGGGAGATCGTGGGCCAGCAGGGGGGCGGCCTGTCGGTGCTGCGGACCTTCCGCCTGATGCGGGTGCTGAAGCTGGTGCGCTTCCTGCCGGCGCTGCAGCGGCAGCTCGTGGTGCTCATGAAGACCATGGACAACGTGGCCACCTTCTGCATGCTGCTCATGCTCTTCATCTTCATCTTCAGGTGAGGGAGGGTGCCGCGGGAGGGGCCTCGGGGGCGGGCGGGCCGCTGGGGCTGAGCCCTCAGCGGGAGTTTCCGTCCGTCCGTGTCTCCAGCATCCTGGGCATGCATCTCTTCGGCTGCAAATTTGCCTCCGAGCGGGACGGGGACACGCTGCCGGACCGGAAGAACTTTGACTCCCTGCTCTGGGCCATCGTCACCGTCTTCCAGGTGCGAGGGAAACCGGACAGGGCGGGCGAGGGGAGGGGGACCCGGGTCAGCGCCCTGACTCCCGCCCTCTGCCCACAGATCCTGACCCAGGAGGACTGGAACAAGGTGCTCTACAACGGCATGGCCTCCACGTCGTCCTGGGCCGCCCTCTACTTCATCGCCCTCATGACCTTCGGCAACTACGTGCTCTTCAACCTGCTCGTCGCCATCCTGGTGGAGGGCTTCCAGGCGGAGGTAACCCCCTGCCCGAAGCGGCCCGTTTCCAGGAGGCGTCGGCTGCCCAGCCTGAGCTTTGGGGGCCTGGCAGGCCCTGCAGGAAGCGCCTGCCCTTCCGATTAGATGGGGGTGACTGAGAGGGGGAGGCGCTGGGTCTCAGAAAGCCCCTGGACACTCAGAAAACGGGGTGCTTGTGCATGGGGGGGCGGTCTTTGGCTCCCCAGATTAGCTGCCCCAGTGGGCTTCCCCTCCCAAGTCGGCTAGACCCTCCCTTCCTCAGAAAGCTAGACAAGGGTCAGCACACAGGGCGTCCGGATCACTGAGCACAGGTGCTCTCGGGGACCCATCCGAGCTGAGGGGCGGGGGGAGCTTGTGTGCAAGTCATCTGAGCTCCGGCTGAGATGATGAAGATGCCACCAGGGCCCGGGCAGGGCCGAGCTGCCCAGGGTGAGAAATGAGCCCAATTAGCCGAGGAGATGGCAGAGATGAGCGTCCTATTTCCAGCCCCGGCTCCATCGCCTTCGTCACGGGCAGCGTCATCAATTAATATTGACTAGCATTGATCCCGCCCTCGCAGGGCCGGGGCACAGCCTCTGCCCAAAAGGCTGCACCCTCCTCCTCTCCCTCCGCCCTGCACCTCTGCCCAGCCCAGGCCCGGCCCAGGCCCAGCTCCGCGCCAGGCACCGGGGAAGGTTGACCCAACCTAGAAACGCTCCAGGTTGGGCGTGGAGAAGCTCTCGGTCCAGTTCTCTTCGGGTGACCCGGATGGAAACTCCCGCTGCGGCCTGGTCTATAAATACCCGGCACACGGTGGAAAAACAAAATCTATTTTCCGCCTTTTCCCCAGCCTTTGCGAGGGAGGGCTGCTCCCCGAGGGCCAGGCTGGTGGGGTGCGGGGGCATCTGTCCCTCCCTGGCCTTCCTTCCCCGGCGTCCCCCGTAATCCTGGAGCTCCCCATGAGCGCATTTCCTCCCGCTGGGGGAGGGAGGGCCGCTGGCGGAGCCCTGCCGTGGTGATGGCGGGGCCTCTTGCAGGAGGGAGCGACACAGGTGCTCTCCCTGCAGCAGGACCCTTGCTGGGTGGTTGGTTCCCTGGGGCATGAAGGGTTAAGGGGTGCCACCGTGCTCCCACAAAAGCCAGGGTCTCTATGGAGACCCGCCCTTCTCAGCCACAGCTCTTGGCCTGTGGGAGAAGGAGGAGGAGGAGCAGAGTGGGGACGCGGTCCCTCAGCCCCTTCCAGACCACAGCTCCTGACAGCCAAGATTCCCCTGGAATAATTGCCGTGGAGCTATGTGGAGGGGAGCCTGTTCTGCTTCCCTCACCTGGCCGGCAGCCACCGGGGCGTCCTGGCGGTGCCCGGCACAGTCAGCCCCCTCCCACTGCTGCCTCGTTCAGCGAGCACCTTGTTAAATCGAGTGCCGCCGAGCCGGCCCGGTTGCTAGGCAGCAGCTATGTCTGTGTGTGGGAAGAGAGCAGCCTGGCCCTGGGGCCCGGCCCGGTCACTCCGGCCCTGCTCGTGGCCTGTGGCGGCCCCAGCCCAAGGGGCCAGCCAGGACCTCCTCCACCAGGAGGGTCTCCGGCAGGGCCTGCTGCTTTCCGTCTGGGCGGGATGGAGAAAGGATTTCAGCATCCACACCCCCTCCACGGGTGGGCAGTGTCCTGGGTGCAGGGTGGGCGCTCGTTGCCGGGGACCTGCATACCTCCAGAGACACCTGCCTTCTTCTCCTGCACCGAGTTTCGGGGGGCTGCCCCGGTGGCTCTGGGGGCCCCACCATCTGCCAGGGGAGTCTGGTTCCTGCCGCTCTGATGGCATGAGACCGCCCACCTCGGGGAGGAAGTGGCTCCTTCATTTCTGTGGATGTCATTAGCCGGAGCCTCGAGAGTGGCCCCCTGCTGGCCTTACCAGGCCACCAGGGGCCGGAGCCGGCGGGCTGTAGATTTCCGGGCTTGCAGGGGGCAGTGCCCTGAGTCCCTGTATATTTATCATCCACACACTTAATTAAATGAACAGGCAGCGGGCCCTGTGTGAGGCCATTAATTGATATTAAACAACATCATAGCTGTCATCCGGTGTTACTTGTCACATTCCCATCCCACTGGGAGCGGCAGGACACGTTCTGATGGGGAGGGAGGGAGGGAGGCAGAAGGGATGGGAGTTAGGAGGCCTCTTCTCAGTCCTCACCTGGTTGCTTCCCCAGCCTCTGACTCCACCCACTCCTCGGACTCCACCCACTCCTCCCCCCTTCCCTCCTGTCCATGCCCCAAGCCTGCTGCGGGGAAGGGGGAGCTGGAGTCTTAGGCTCGAGGCCCCGAGCCACCTCTGACTCTCTGTATGACACGCACAGTCTTCCGAGCGTTTCCGGACCTCGGGCGCCTCCTGTGAGATTGCTCGGGCAGCACCTGCTTCCCACCCGGCGAGGAAGCAAGCTAGTGCCCGTGAAGCCTGGCACACCCTGCAAATGGCGGCTGTCGTTAGAACCCCCTGGGGGCTTGGTCGCCTTCCCTGCCCTTGTCCCCATCTCCGTGGCCTCCTTCCTCGCCCTTCCTCAGATTCATTCTGGCCTGGAGCCTGTGGCTGAATTCTGGAAGGCCGTGCTCCCCCCTGCCTCCTCCCGCCCCCGTGTCTCATTCCCCCCTCTCCCCCCCGCTGTCGGGTCCGCATCGCTCCTCCTCTTCATCCTCTTTGGACACGGCTGATGTGTGAACGCCCGGGCGCCTGTGACCAGCCCCGTCCCCTGCCTCCCCCTCTCCCTGTAGGAAATCAGCAAACGGGAAGATGCGAGTGGACAGTTAAGCTGTATTCAGCTGCCTGTCGACTCCCAGGGGGTAGGTACGCGATCCGAGTCGGCATGCCCCCCCACCCTGCGCCCCGCGCCCCCTCCACTCCGCCTCCGTGTCTCTGTGCTCGTGTTCACGCTCGGCTCCTGTGCAGCCTGTGGTCGCCGTGGTGGTCATTGGTGTTGTGAGGCTGGCTTCGATTTTAAGTCCCTTCCCCCCCCTGGAGGACATCGAGGAGAGGAGCCTCCTGGCCTCTGCCCCGTCCACCCGCAGAGGGCATGTTCCGTCCCCGACAGACTGACCGGTGGACAGAGAGAGAAGGAAGGGACTTAGAATCCTCTGTGTGCACGTGTGTGGCGCACCGCGCGTGCGCGCCGACGGGGAGGGCCCCTGGGAGTCCTAGTCCACGGTCCGTGGCCCAGCCCGTGCTCCCCCATCTCTCTCCCTCCCCCCTACCTTGCCCTGCACCCCTGTTGGAGACCCCACTAGCTTCCTCAGCTCAGGACGTGTCCTTGGAGGATGGGGAGATAGGGGTGGCCTTGCCAGAATGCACCAGAGTTTTAGATCCACGTCCCAGTCTCTGGCCCCTCGCCCGCCCAGGAGGTCCAGCAGGTGTTTGGGGGACACGCTCCTCCTCTGGCCCCAGCCCCGGCACCCGGATTCAGGGCAGAGTCAGGGTTCCCGCAGGACCCACAGAGCTGCACATCCCGAGCAGCCCCCTGGAGGCCCCGCTTGATAATTAAGAGCTTCGTTAGGGACGGAAGCGGAGTTAATGAGAAGGATCCCCGGAGATGCCAATTACGCAATATTTGTGTCCTTCTCAAAAGTAGCAATCAAGTATTTTTTTAATAACTTCTTAAGGAGAAGTGTGTAATTACTGGGGAACCTACTGACCTGCTAAGGAGGAAGAAAAAACTGTCCCAGAGACAGAGAGAGAGGTAAAAAAAAAAAAAAAAAAAAAAAAAAAAATGGGGGCAGGGGGAGGAGCGGGAGCTCGGGGAGGGTGTAGGGAGACGCAGAGGGGCCGAGTGGCGTCCTTGGGCTGAGCTGCTCTGTCTGGGGTCCTTCCATTTCCTTCCGGGGTGCTCGGGGCTGAAGCTCGGGGAGAGCAGCCATGGAGGGCAGGCAGGGGGTGCCGCTGGCCTTGGGAACGGAGGCTCTAGTGACCACGCCGGTCCCCAGCTCCGCCTGGCCCGTGCCACCCCCCACCCAGCCATCCTCACTCCCCTCAGCCATGCTGGGAGCCAGTCCCAGCCAGACTGGTTGTGCTGTGGGCTCTGGGGTTAACAGTGGCCTCCGAGGTGTGGCTGGTGGGGGACACAGGTGTTAGGGACCCTGGTGGATGCTAGTGCATGTCTCGTGCCATGGTTGTGGTCCTCGTGGCCTCTCTGTGTAACGTGTGCGGGTGAAGACAGGGAGACAGACCTCCGTCCAGCCCGCCGACCCCTGCTGGGCCAGGCCCCTCACGGCCCGCCGCTCCCCTCCCCCAGGGAGATGCCACCAAGTCTGAGTCGGAGCCCGATTTCTTCTCCCCCAGCCTGGACGGCGACGGGGACAGGAGGAAGCGCTTGGCCTGTGAGTGTCTGTCCCCAGGGTGGCGAGGGGCAGCCCGTGTGGCCCTGGGCCGGCTCGGGGTGGACTCGCGGTCTCCCCGCCTCTCCCCCGCAGTGGTGTCCCTGGGAGAGCACCCCGAGCTGCGGAGGAGCCTGCTGCCCCCTCTCATCATCCACACGGCCGCCACGCCCATGTCGCTGCCCAAGAGCTCCAGCACCGGCCTGGCCGAGGCGCTGGGCCCTGCCTCCCGGCGCACCAGCAGCAGCGGCTCGGTGGAGCCCGGCGCGGCCCACGAGATGAAGTCGCCGGTAGGGGCGCCCGTGGGTGCCCGGTGGTGGGAGATGTGAGGCCGTCGGGAAGGGAGAGAGGATGGCGGTGGGCGGGCCTGAAGAGATAGCCCCCGCCGAGCCACTGGTGGACAAGCCGGCCGGGGCTGGTGACGTGGCCACGTGGAGGAGCCGTGGCCTTGGGCTCCAACCCTGCTGCTTCTGTTCCCGAAATGAGTGAGGCTCAGCCTCCGAGACCCCTTGTAAAGCGTGTGTGTGCGTGTGTGTGTGTGTGTGTGTGTGTGTGGTGGTACCTCCTTAGTCCCTTATCACAATAGCAGCAAACCCCATCTAGCCGATGATTCAGACGCTGCTCAGAGTGATCTGGACACATTGAGCCCTCCCAGCACCCTTATGAGGGAGGTGCTGTTACCGTCCCTGTTTGGGGACCTGCAGCTCAGGTGGCCCCAGTGGTTTGTGGGAAGCTCCCAAGCAAGTAGGTGATGGAGCCAGCATTTTCGTCCAGGAGGCCGGTGTCAGGGCCGACGCGCTGACCAGTACTTTATATACTGCCCCCAGCTGGCAGAAGACTTCCCTTCCCAACTAGGGGTGGAATAGGTGCTAGTGTCCTAGCGAGTGTCCTAGTGTCCAGGTGAGGAGCTGCGGTACAGAGAGGTTTGGTAGCTTGGCCGAGGTCACACAGTGGGTTGGAATAAGCCTGGGGACCTGAATCCAGGCCTCCAACACCAGGCTCCTGCCCATCGTGCCTCCGCACCCGTGCGATCGATGCCAGGAGGCTCACAGGAGGTGGGGTGCCTGTGAGGGTGGCCCTGGCTGAGACCCCCCTCTCCTGTGCTCACCCCCAGCCGAGTGCCCGGAGCTCCCCGCACAGCCCCTGGAGCGCGGCAAGCAGCTGGGCCAGCAGGCGCTCCAGCCGCAACAGCCTGGGCCGGGCCCCCAGCCTGAAGCGGAGGAGCCCGAGCGGGGAGCGGAGGTCCCTGCTGTCGGGCGAGGGCCAGGAGAGCCAGGACGAAGAGGAGAGCTCGGAGGAGGAGCGGGCCAGCCCGGCCGGCAGCGACCGGCGCCACCGGGGCTCCCTGGACCTGCCGGACACACTGCAGGTGCCCGGGCTGCACCGCACCGCCAGCGGCCGCAGCTCCGCCTCCGAGCACCAGGGCTGCAATGGCAAGTCAGCCTCGGGGCACCTGGCCCGGGCCCTGCACCCCGACGACCCCCCACTGGATGGAGATGATGGCGATGACGAGGGCAACCTGGTGAGGCCCCTGTGGGCACAGGGACAGCCCCTACCCCCCATCCCTGACATTGAGTGAAAGGAGCGATGCCTGGCCTGGGGCGAGGGTGGACAGCCCCTCCCAGCTCTGTGGCATTCAGGGAGTTTATCCTCACACCCGAGGGATATCAGGGTACCGGCCCTGGAGGCCAAGCTTCAGACACCTTTCTTCCCTCTCCTGGCCTCGCTGAGCCCTAGATCCTCACCATCCCCCGGGCTGCGTCTCTGCGGCCCTTGGTGGATATGAATGGTTTTGGACAGATGTGTATGAATCTTTCATGGTCCTCTCTCTGTGACTCAGAAAGACCCATCACTCATCTCTCCAAACTGATGCCCTCTCCTGTCCCCTGTCTCATCTGGACGTCATCACAGCCTCGACTTCACACCCATCCTTACCCATCACACCTCCCCCCCCCCCCCGTCAGTCCCCAGCCACCACCTTTAACCCTGGGGTGGGCACAGGGACCAGGACCTCCCAGTTAGCACGCAAGGAGAAGGGGGTCAGGGTCCCCTCATCCCCGGTGTGTCTGAAGAGACAGACAGCTGTGATGGGTCCGATGTTTGATAATTGATGCACTTCCAAGTGCAGCAGGGAGGGAAGGAGAAATGGCAGGCGAGGGCTGAGCTGGAGGCAGAGATGGGAAAAGGTACAGAGCTCGGGCAAGGGGGTTGGGGGGAAGGAAGGACATGAGGGATGCTCAGGGGACAGAGGGGCCTCAGAGGGGGATGGGAAGGTGGTTTTAGGAATCCAGGAGGAAACACCGCTGAGGGAAGATAGTGGGGGCCGTGGAGCTGCTATAAGGGAACGAAGGGTTGGGGCCTTGGAGGCCCGGCCCTGCTCACACCCCCGTGATCCTCCTACAGAGCAGAGGGGAGCGGATGAGAGCGTGGATCCGAGCCCGGCTCCCCGCCTGCTGCCGAGAGCGAGACACTTGGTCTGCCTACATCTTCCCTCCTCAGTCAAGGTAAGCAGGGGGGCCCCTGCCCTGTGCCCCAACCTCTCCTCACAGGAGGTTACCCTGTGACGTCGTCCCAGAGATGCTAGAAGTGTCCCCAGACGTGGGAGCGTGTGAGAGAGGTGCTTCGGGCTGGGGGGGCCCGGGAGGGGGCGGGGCCTCGGGCGATGCCTCTCACTGCTGCCCTGCCTCCCGCTCAGCCTTGGCCTCTGTCCCGGAGCAGGTTCCGCCTCCTGTGCCACCGGATCATCACCCACAAGATGTTCGACCACGTGGTCCTCGTCATCATCTTCCTCAACTGCATCACCATCGCCATGGAGCGCCCCAAGATCGACCCGCACAGCGCTGTGAGTCCCGGACGACTCTGGCGTGGTGGCTGCTGAGTGCCTGCCTGCTGGGTGCCAGGCCCCTCCCGGGTTAGCCAGCAGGGTGGGCACGGAGACCCCGAACCACACAGAGGGAGAGAGCCAGGACTCCCCCGTACCGCCCCCCCCGACTTCCACCCTTGCGGCTGGCGCCTGTGTCCCTCTCCTGCCTCTGTCTCCCTTCTCTGGCACACCGGCCCAGCTGGGGGAGGGGGCTCTGCTCCTCTCCCGGGTGAAAAGTGAGGTCCGTCGCACCCGGCTATTTGCAGACGGCGTGTTCTCGCGAGCCGGAGCCTTGTGGGAGGCGGTGAGTGTTGGGATGATGCAAACAGCGAGACTGGTCCTGGCTGGGCAGAGCTGTCTTGCTTTCCCTGCTCCTGGCAAAGGGCCTCCGTTTCACCTATGACCCATGACCCATGACCCATGACCCATGCATTCATTGATGGGGGATGCAGAACAAGAGAGGGAAGCTGCCTTGGCTCCCGTGGTCCTGCCAGGTCACCACAAATAGGTTTTCAGGGCCACGGGGGAGGGGCGTGTGGGACACTGGTCCCTTCTGCTTGGCCGTGAACCTGTCAGTCCTCCTCAGAAGGAGAGGCCGGAGGCCGGAGTCTCAGGACATCCTCCCAGGGGCCCAGCCTCCTCGGGGTGGGCCCAGCTGCTGTGGGAGCTCTCTCTCCCCGGCCTGGCATCACAGCCCCTCCCCCGACATGGTTCTGGTCCAAGAGGGGCGGGCGGGGTGGCTCTGCTGCCTCTCGTGGCGTCTGGCTCCACATGCTTGGAGGTGGCGCCCCGTCCCCCTCACTGCCTCACGCCATTGTTCAGATGTCAGCGCCGCGGTGGCTTCTGGCTTCCATTAGGGTGGGCTCCAGCCAGGCGGCGGTTGGGGGGGGGGGTAAAGCCCTGAGGGATGGAGGGGCAGCCCAGGAAGAGGTGGATGAGTGAGCACAGCACTGGGGACTCCCACCCCCGGGCTGGTGTGGGTGGGGCACAGGCCGCGGGTGACCCCGACGTCTCTCCCCGACCTCCACGCGGCTCCTCCATCGCCTTTTGTCATGCACGCTTCTCTCTCCCCTTTCTCTGTTTCTCTCTCGACACTCTCGCTCTGCCTGCTGCCTCTGCCGTCCCCCACACTCCTCTCTGGCCACCCAGCAATGGGATCTGCCCGCAGCCATCAGGGCACTGAGCCGCCTTTTCCCCCTCCTGCCCCGGCCTAGGCCCAGCACAAGCCCTGCTCCTGGGCATGCACAGCCCGCACTCAGGCCCCGCTCGCCCTGTGGCTCCGTTTCTGGGGCACACAGCAGGAAAGGGAGTCTGTGGAGCAGGAGGAGAGTAGAAGGGGAGGAGGGAGGTCAGAGATCAAGTTAAATCCTGCCCCACTTATAAGGAAGAAATCGGGATAGGGCCTGAGATATGGGGCTCAGCTAGCAGCACTGTGGTGGGGTCATCCCCCCTCCAGGCCGCTCTGGGGAGGGGGGCAGCTCTGTTCAGGGCAGGGGAGCAAATGAGCCAGGAGCCTAGCACTGTGTGTGTGTGTGTGTGTGTGTGTGTGCGCGCGCACGCGTGTGTGCGCACTCGCGCACCCTTGTATGTATATGTGTGTGTACATGTGCATGTGTTTGTGTGCATGTGTGTGTGTGTGTGTGTGTGTGTGTGTGGTGTGAGGAGGCAAAGGAGCTTATCTGCCTTGTTGGGGAGGGCAGGGGTCGTTTTCGGAGTCCTCTGTTGGGATGGTCCTGGGTCCTGTGTGCAGCGCAGACTTGGCCCAAGGAGGCCTGGAGGGCAACTCCCGCCTGCTCTCTCTTGCAGGAGCGCATCTTCCTGACCCTCTCCAACTACGTCTTCACCGCGGTCTTCCTGGCGGAGATGACCGTGAAGGTGATGGGGTCGCGGTGGTTCCGGAGGGTGGGGGCAGGGCTGCGGACCCAGGGGGCCGTGGTGACAGTGGTGTGCGGCACCCCCAGGTGGTGGCGCTGGGCTGGTGCTTCGGGGAGCAGGCGTACCTGCGCAGCAGCTGGAACGTGCTGGACGGGCTGCTAGTGCTCATCTCCATCATCGACATCCTGGTGTCCATGGTGTCGGACAGCGGCACCAAGATCCTGGGCATGCTGCGGGTGCTGCGGCTGCTGCGGACCCTGCGCCCGCTCCGGTGAGCCCCGCCCGGCGCCATGGGGCGGACCTCGCCCGCCCTGGCTCCCTGCTGTGACCCCCCACGGAGAACCCTGCCACCGCCATAGGGCTGAGGAGGTCCTGTCCTTGGGCACCTCCCTCGGAACACCCCCTAAAGGACATGGTGCTCAGCGCGGCTGTGCCCCTGGCCTTGTGCCGGGCACAGGATAAAGGGCCCTGGGTGGTACCTTCAAGGGTGGCACTGCCTCCCTGGTGAAGCCGCACACTCCTTTCCTTGCTTTCTCCACCTTCATGCTCCTGAGAGGGCCACCTTTCAGGTGGAGAGGGGGCCTCACCCACTCAGGAAACCCGCCCCAGGGGCCCCACCCCCTCAGGAAACCCTCCCCAAAGACAGAGAATTGTCCTTGGCTGGTGACACCGATGGGGACTATACTGACTGACTACTGATGCTTCCCAGGCTGTGACAAGCCACGCCCCTTTCCTCCCTGCTCGCCCCCTGCATGCTCCCCATCCTCACAACACACTGCATCCTCCCCGGGAACACCTTTCTTGAGCTGAGTCCCTACCTAGCTCCACCAGATCCTCTTTGACTTCCTGCGAGGGGAGGGGAGAGTGAGTGTCTGCTTCCTGTTTTGAGAGATCGTGGGTGAGCATTCCGGTGGCAGGGGTCGCTCTGCCCAGCCAGCCCAGAGAGCCCACCTCTTCCCTCAACCTGAGTCCAGGGGACCAAGGAACCAAGATTGGGGGGCGGGGCAGCAGGGCGAGAGACAGGGGAGTGTCCGAGCTGGGGGAACCCCTCTGATCCCCTTGTCTCCCCAGGGTGATCAGCCGGGCACAGGGCCTGAAGCTGGTGGTGGAGACGCTGATGTCCTCGCTGAAGCCCATCGGGAACATTGTGGTCATCTGCTGTGCCTTCTTCATCATTTTCGGCATCCTGGGGGTGCAGGTTTGTGGAGCTGGGGGGCCCGCTGGCAGCCGAAGCCTGAGGAGTGGCTTTCCTCTCGGTCCTGGGATGGCGAGGCCCCCGCCGGTGCCACCTTTGTTCCAGAAAGCAATAAGCAGGGCTGCTTTCCCCCGGCCTCGGGCCTGGGCCTCTTTGCCGCCTGGGCACTTTGCAGAAAGCTGGCAGCCTGGAAGAGGGCCCCGAAGGGGGCGCGGGCCTCCAAGAGGCTTCTGACCTGGGACAGCTGCAGGCTGCTGTTCCTCCCCTTCGCGCTCTGCACTTGGAGCGCAGATGCTGGCACGGGCCTGCCGTCTGCTCCGGGATCCCCTCCCTGCCTTCCCTGCCGGAGTGGGGTGGGCTGCGGGCCAGGCCTGGGGATCCAGGGCCCAGACAGCTGGGCCAGGTTAGCGGCGTGCTGGCAGGCAGGCAGGCGGGGGCAGACCCCAGACGAGGCAGGAAGTGGGGGCTGCAGGGGAAACCTGGCCTCTGGCCCGGGGAGGGAACTTGGCTTCGGAGGAAGCAGAGCGGGAGCTGCCTATAGGATTCCGCAGGCGCCCCTGGGAGCCCCTCCACCCTGTCTCCCCAGCCCCTGGCCCGGTTGTTTCAGCTGCAGGGCGGACATCTGGCTGCTGGGCAGCAGGGGAGCTCCTGAGTGGCTACCCCTGTCCCCGCCTTTCCTTTGACTTTCTGGATGTCTTCTCTGCCCCGGGGAGGGATGGGGCTGCTCCAGGCTTCCTGGAATCCTCTGGCCCCGGGGACCCGGCTCAGGTGCAGTTGCCAAGGCGGTGGGGTGCTCCCCTGCAGGACCAGAGCCCCTTCCCTTTCCTCTCCTCCCCGCCTGCTTGGATGAGGAGAGGGAACCATTGCTGAGCCCTGACTGGGGCTCTTCCAGGGGCTTTAGGTCTGTCCCGAGCAGCTGCCCAGGCCCCCTGGTCCTCGTTCCTCACGCCCCTTCCTCACCCGCAGTCCTAGCCTGGTCTGTGCTGGAATGAGGGTGAGCTAGCTGTTCACTCACACAGACCTGAGCTTGACCCCCCCTTTCTGGTCATATAAGGTCATACAACCATAGTGAGTGAATTTACTTTTCTGAGCCTCAGTTTTCCTCATCTGTAAAGTGGGGCCAATAATACCTGGCCCAGCCCCACCATTAAGCCGTTTCACTTGGCCCCTCTCCCAGACTGTTCTATGCGGTGGGTCTGGGTGGACCTGAAAATTGGTAATCGTGGCACATTTCCAGATGACGCTGATGCTGGTCCAGGGTCCCCACTTGGAGAACCAGCCCCCCCCTCCCCCAGCCCTTTGTAGAAAAGTAATGGCTGTTCCTTTATTTCATTAGCCACCCTCCTCTCCCCTCTCTAGGGCTCTGCTCCGAGGAGCCAGAGGAAGGGGTGCTTGTAGGGGAGGTTCCCTGACCCCGCTGGGCCCCGGGGCTGCTGGGAGGTGGGGCTGGGAGTCCTGGGCGTCCGGTGGTCACGGCTCGCTTCTCCCTGTCTCCGGGCGCCTGTGTGTCCAGCTCTTCAAAGGGAAGTTCTTCGTGTGCCAGGGTGAGGACACCAGGAACATCACCAACAAGTCTGACTGTGCCGAGGCCAGCTACCGGTGGGTCCGGCACAAGTACAACTTCGACAACCTCGGCCAGGTGAGCCCCGGGCCTGGGGTGGCGGTGGGAGTGGTGGCAGGAGGCCCCAGAGGGCAGAAGTCCGGCTTCATGATGCCCGCAGGGCAGTGGACTTGCCAGAGCCCTCCTGCTCGGCGGGGGAATGGACCCTGTGGGGTCTCCCGTGGAGGCCCACAGGAAGGGGGCAGTGAGACGAGGTGAATGTTTTCGTGTCCTGGTACAGGCACAGGGTCAGTCCTTTTCCCCGCTCCACATTCCCAGAAGCAGGGAGATGTACACAAAGCAGTACTCCCCTCTGTTTGGCGGGTGTGTTTCCCGGCCCACCTGGTGTTGGTTTCTGAAGTTCCGAGGGTCTGATCACGGCCCTGCTGGTTTCATACCAGCTTCGGAGCCTCCAGGGGCCTGGAGTGTGACCCAGCCTGACCTCAGAGGGGCTGGGGTCCCCCAAGCTGCTGCCAGGAGGTGCTTTGAGGACAGGTAGTGGGTGGTTTGGCCGCACATCCTAGATTTCCGACGGTCTCCTCTCCTTCTCCTCCCCCCTCTCCCCACCCTCCAGGCCCTGATGTCCCTGTTCGTGCTGGCCTCCAAGGACGGCTGGGTGGACATCATGTACGACGGGCTGGACGCCGTGGGTGTGGACCAGCAGGTAGGGCCGAGGTGGGCAGGACCCACGTGTGGGCTGAGGGCACTCAGCGCGGGCCGACACCAGGCATGACGAGTGCAGATGCTAGAGAGAGAGCGGGCGGGGCAGGGCTGGGAAAAGGCATTGCCTCTACAGGCTGGCATGCTCCTGTGGGGGAGGAGGTGAAGGCGGGGGTGGGGGGTGGGTGAGAGCAGCGTCTCCCTGCCCCCAGCCCCAGCCTGGAAGAGGCATTGCCTCTCACGGCCGAGGCAGTAACGGGCAGCCTGAGGGCCAGACCCAGGCACGTCTTACTGGCTTTGCAGCATGTTTAAATATTGTGAATTCGTGGTGGGGCATTTAAAAGCTGGCGAATTGCACACGAAAATCCAGACGTGGGCCTGCTCAGGAGAAATCCTGGGAAAATTGGACTTGCATCCCGCCCCCGCCCTCCCCTTCCCCCCAGGCTGGAATCAGCAGGAACAAAGACGCAGCTTCCCCTTTAAGATAGAGCCACTCTCCACTTGGCCGCAGTCCCCACCCCTCCTTACTGCCTAACGCCCGCCTTGTCCGTTTCCATCCCCTGCTGGGTCCCTGCAGCTCACTGGGCCCTGTCTCAGAGGGCCCAGGGGATGGGGCAGCACCGAGACAGGCCCCGGGCTGATGGCGCTCCTGTCCTTCCTGCTCCCCGCCAGCCCATCATGAACCACAACCCCTGGATGCTCCTGTACTTCATCTCGTTCCTGCTCATTGTGGCCTTCTTTGTCCTGAACATGTTCGTGGGCGTGGTGGTGGAGAACTTCCACAAGTGCCGGCAGCACCAGGAGGAGGAGGAGGCCCGGCGGCGGGAGGAGAAGCGGCTGCGGAGGCTGGAGAAAAAGAGAAGGAGTAAGGAGAAGCAGATGGCCGGTCGGTAGCCTTTCCACATCTCTCTCAGTCCTGCTTGACCTTGGCCTTGCGACTGCCTGTCGGGGGGCCAGGGGCTGAGGCTGGGGCTGGGGGCAGGGAGACGCTGCTCTCACCCACCCCCCACCCCCGCCTTCACCTCCTCCCCCACAGGAGCATGCCAGCCTGTAGAGCCAGCATGAAGCAGACCAGGTCAGCCCCGTGGGGGACGGGGGCCGCCCCACCCTGAGGGCTCCCCAGGTCTCCGCATCATGCTCCCGAGAGAGAGGATTCCAGGGGAGTTGTGCACACCCTCTCCCAGCTCGACTCTCAGAGGGGCCTCACGGGATGAGAATCAGGCTCCATTGTCCGGGGGCCAGTGTCCAGAGACCCAGGGGTTGGCCCAGGTGCCAGCCTTGCCCGGCCCAGGGCTGGCACGCAAGCGTCTTGAACCTGTGCCTGCCTAGTGTCTAGCTGCTGAGCAAGGTCTGGACAGAGGTTGCCAATGAACAGCAGCGAGAGGGGACCCCAGACCCCCTTCTCCCTTCCTGTCTCCAGCAAAACTCCCCGCCTTCCCGACTGTCTGTTTTTAGCCAAGCTGTAAAAAAAAAAAATAATAATGAAAAAAGTCTCCTCCTGGCTCAGGGAAGGTCTGAGGTCACAGGAACTCTAAGCACATGACTCTCCAGCCTTAGAGCCCTCAGCCCCCTCCCCTGTGATCCCCAACATTTCTTGGCCTTGGCTGGGGGTGACCCTCTCCCCATCCCTCTTCTGCCATGAGACTGAGGGGAAAGACACAGTTGGCAGGAAGGACGGACCAGACGTGACAGGTGTAGGAGCCCCTTAGTTCCTCGGAGCCTCCTGTCTCCGGGGCTCCTGCCCGCCTGCCTGTCTGGTACCCAGTACTCTCCCCGGTTCTCTCTTCCTGTCACTGCCCACGTTTCCCGACGTGTCTCTGTGTGTGGGTTTCTCTCTAAGCCTTTGTGTGTCTGCCCCTGTTGGGTCTGCGGGGTCTCCCTTTCTCTCTTCACCTCTTCACAAACCGCCTCCATTCCGCCGATAAGCTGGGTGCAGGGAGTTTGCTCTTTGGTGTGTTGACATGTGAGTACCACCCAGCGGGTGGGGGTGGGGCCGAGCCCGTGTGCCCTGGGAGAGGCGGGGCCGCAGGTGGTACAGCTGTCCCCACCCCCATCCTCCATCCCCGTGTCCCAGGCGAACCACCCAGCTCTGGGGCAGGGTCCCCTCTCGGCTCGCTCTGTGAGTGCCTGAAGCTGAGCAGGCACATCGCCCCCAGCAACTGTGCTCCTACCCCTGCTCCGTCCCCCCTCCCCTCTTTGCAGTCTGCCTCCTCGGCAGGGCATCTGCAGACGGAGTTCTTTCTGGCAGGAGGCACTTGTGGCCCTGCCTGGCCAGCTGGCTCCCCTTCTGGGGTCTGGAGCCGCCTCAGGTGCTGCTGAGGCCAGGGCACAGGTAGGCGTGGACATCTGTTCTGATGACAGGCTGCCTGCCCCTCCCTGTGCCCCATCCCCTGTCCTCGTGACCCTGTCCAGTTGGCTGGATAGTTCCTTTTCCTCTGGTGCTCGGTGCCTCGAGCTTGGGGCTGGACACGGAGGACCAGCCACCCACACCCCATTCATTCACAGGCGGAGTGAGGGTCCGAGCCGAGGGGGGAGCGAGCTGCTGAGGGGGCCCTGCCCAGCCCGCCAGGTCCGGCCAGTGACCCATGTGTTTCGTTCTTTTAGATCTAATGCTGGACGATGTAATTGCTTCCGGCAGCTCCTCCAGCGCGGCGCCAGGTACTGCGTCTGGGGTTGCGGGTTCCAGGGTGTGGCCCGGGGGTGGTCAGGCCCTGCCTGCCGCCAGGCCCGTCTCCTGGGTTTGGGGATCTCCTCTTTGCTGCCTCTCCAGGGCTCACTGGTTCTATCCTCTCTGGGCGAAGGGGGGAGGGACCCTGCGGTGCTGGGCTCCGGGTCCTCCCATAGATGGGAGGTGAGGGTCTCAGCACCCCCTCCCTCAGACACCTCTTGAAGGACCCACCTTCTCTTCCAAGGCTCCCCACCCCTGAGCTCCCTAGCCCCTTGCTGCCTCTTCCCACTCCTGCTCCTCCTCCCAGGTCACACACCATTCCGTGATTAGAGCTGCAAATCTCTCCCTCCGGCTCCTTCTGTCTGAAGGGGAGACTTTGATCAAGTGAGCAGGATGAGAGGAGCAGCAAGGGGAAGGATTTGTTTTAAAAATGTAGCGATGAATCATTGAACAGACTCATTAATCGTCCGGCAATCGCGGTGGCCACGTCACCCCTACAAACAGCAGGGACTTGGGGATCCGAGGCCTGAGTTAGCCATCCTCTTCTCCCCGAAACCCCACGACTTGGGAGTGAGGTGGGTCCTTCTCTTTTGAGAGCCGGTCTCTGGGGGGCCTTCCCGGTCCTGCCCTCCTGGGTCCTCGGCGCCTGCTCCGCCGACACGTCCCCCAGACGGCGTTCTGAGGCCATGAGAATCTGGGTCAGGGCAGTGGGACCTCAGCTACACCCTCTGCCGTCTCCACGCAGTGGTTCCCAACCTGTGTATCCCCAAGCCAAGCCCCCCCCCCTCTTATCATCGCCAACAGCCCACGTGATACAAGTCTGTGTTTGAAGTTAAGAGCATTTCAATGACGACTTTGTTTCGGTTTTTGCTAATCAAAGGCACATGTAATTGCTAATCAGGGCTTCTAAGCCACAGAAGGTTTCACACTGAATGATGGAAAAAAAAAAAAAAAAAAGGCAGAACGAAACAGAAAACATTTCCATTCAGTTCCTCTGTGGGCTCTTGACACAGGCGTATGTGTGACTTCTTTTAAGCTTTTAGAAATATTGAAAGGAACCTAAGAACCCCCTGTGGCTGCCTTCTCAGGCTGCTGAGGGCGTTGGGCTTCAGGCTGGGGACCCCTGGGCTGAGCCTTTCTCCCCTCTTCTGCACTCCCCTCCGAAACAAGACTCTGGCAGACGCTGCCCTGTGGATGTTGGGCTATCTGAGCTACGGGGGCTCAGGGACTCCCCCTGCCTCCGTGTGGGAGGTCATCCCTGAGCCCCAGGCGGGTGGCTGTCTGCTGGCCTCGTGGTTCGAGCTCTGGTGTCCCTTGGGGCGCTGGCGTCTCCAGCTGGTCTGTCTGGGTTGCCTGGGTCCGCTCCCTGTGTCAGCCTGTCCTGCAGGCTCCAGATGTGTTAGGGGTGAGAAGGTGGAAGGCCGTAGCCTTCAGTTTTTTCCCTTGTGGGTTCACCTGGTCTGTAGACTGAAGTGTCCACACGTACACGCTCACCCCAAAACGCCACCATGGCGTCGGGCTGGGCCACAGGAGCTCCGCCACCACGAACCAGCACACGCAGATCCTCACAGCCTCTGAGAACTCCTGACACCCTCGTTACTCTCAGGCCGTACCCACCCTCCACCCCCGGGGACATTCTGTGGGCTCCTCCTGGCACCTGAGAGTATGCACACTGATTACAACAGTGTGTGTTACCTTTCCAGCCGGTAATGGGTGCTCAGAGACCCCAAAGAGGGCCTCAGATCGTCCCACATCCCTCTCGCCCGGATCTGGGGTCCCGGGCGGTCCATACCAGAGCTTTTCAAATCTCTGTGTACCCAAGAACTGCCCAGAGAACATATTAAGACACAGATTCCTGAGCCCCGCCTAGAAGTGCTCATGTGTGGACTGGGGCTGGAGGGGAGCATGTGCATTTCAGTCCGCTCCCAGGGGCCAGCAATAGCCTATCCCACCTGCCAATCCCACCCACGGTGTCCCCGGGATGACGTCACACCTAGCCTGGGGCTGCAAGAACCCAACTCCTCCCAGCTAATAGCAGTGCTGTGCCCAGCGGGAGGGGTTCAGCCAAACCCCAGGGAGAGGCCAGAGGGGAAAGGCTTTAGTTACCAGGGCAATGGGTCTGACTGGCCAGCTGGGTACAGCCTGGGCAATCAGGTTAGCCCCAAGGGACCCCGTGGCCTTCGGCACCAGCTCCACTTGCCCTGCACCTGTGTGGGATGCCTGCTGGCACTGCCCTCTCCTGTCCCACTGACCCCAGCGAGCAGGCTTGGCTGTGGCAGCCAATGGCGCGGCCTCTGCGGTGGAAGCCTGTGTCTCCACCTTCCGCCTACTCCCTGCCATTCTCCTTTGCAAATCCTCGGGCTCCCAGTGACCCCTACTAACACACTGTGCCTGCTGCCCTCACTCACAGCCTCACACCCCGCCCCCCTGCACCTCTCCTGTGTTCCTGCCCCTGACTAGGGGTGGGGCAGCCCCAGGGTGCCCTTCTCCCCACTGTCTGTCTCTGGTATTTTCTCTGCCTAAAACAGCTCATACTGTTGGGAGGCAGGGAGGTGGGGCCAGGGCTGCCAACATGCCAGGGACCACTGGTTTGGGCCCCTCCTGGGCAATGGCCAGAGCTCTCCAGAAGGTGGGGGTGAGGGGGTGTTTCCAGTTCTGCCGGGCGCCCAGGTACTGTCTATAAAACCACGGGTCGGGGAGCAAAAAAGGGGCGTCATCATTCAGAGCCCAACAGCGAGGGCCTTTGGCGAACTCTCTGAGGGCATCCTCAGGGCCAAAGCCCCGAGCTGTGGGTCTGAGCCCACCTGGCAGCTGCCGGGGGCCTCAAGCTGGGAGTTCAAGTCCAGGCTCTGTCGCTGCTTCTTAGTGTATGGACGCCTCGCTGTCTGCCGGCCCTGTTCTCTTCAGACAAAGAGGTTGGCCAGTTGCACTTTGACCTGTTCTCTAACAGGGGTTTTCCAGCAGCCTCTGCCCCCGCTGGTCTGGGGTGGGGTTGAGGGTGGGGGTGGAAGGGCATTTGCAGAGACCTCAGGGACCTGGGACCGACCGGCCGGCCAGTCGTATGAGCAGATGCCCTGCCTCAGTCGTCCAGCCCCTACTTTCTCTCTGGGCCACTTGGAGGAGGGGTCCCTGGCCAGATGGCAGAGGTGGGGCGAAGGTTCACTTGGCCCTGGGGCTGCCTAGACCGTCAGACTAGGGCGAGAGGGGAGAGGGGGCACGCTCCCCACCTCTCCTCTGCATGGTCCCCGCTAATAACGCTGATAACAGGGCTAATACGGAGCCACTTCTTCTAACCTAATTGTATTCAAACATTTTAGTTAATTCTTCATTCATATTTTAGCATAATGGACTCGGTGCCCTGGGCACTTATGGAGATTAATGCAGAGAAAGAGTTCCAGCTGCTAAAGCAACACGGGCGGGCGGCTAGCGCCCTCTGGTCCTGTGGGTACTGCAGGAAGGAAGAGGCCCCTCGCCCGGTCCACCCTCCACCATCGCCCTGTGGATGACCCGCGGCCTCCCGCTGTCCCCTGGGCCAGGCCTCTCCATCGCCACCCTCCTGGGGGCCAGGAGGGCCGCCGGAGCACACAAAGCCACCGTTGGCTGGCCCCCGTCCAAAAGCAAAGCCATGACCTAGCTCACCCGGCGCTGGGCCCAAACATTCTAGACCCGCTGCCTCTCGGTCATCCACACCTCAGGGCCGATGCTGGACTGTGGCTCTGGGCGAGGCTGAGCGTGTAGCTCTCGGGTGCTCTTCTTCCTTCGGCCTTTGGTGGGGGCCCACCCAGGCCACTCCCTGCCTCGATTTACCTCTCTGTTCAACGGTCCTCTGCATGGGAAAGGACGATTCTAGATGAGCTGGCCTGGGCCCAGAGCTTCCTGCCACCCCTGGCACGGGCCTCAGAGGCGGCAGCCTTCGCTAGCTGGCTTGCGCCCTAGACTTCCTGAGGGGGAAGGGCTGTCTGGGACCTGAGGCTGCCCCGGCCTCCCGTGCGAAGCCTCTTTTTCCTCGGGAGGCTGTTCTGTCCGCCACCCCTGGATGGCATGTGTCCCCAACTCGGCCTGGCCTTTCCCCGGCACCTGGACGAGACCCCCCCGACTCCCTGCATTCTGCCTGCGTCACAGGCCAACTTCCTGGCACTGTGATTTTTATGCCTAAGTGATTTCCTAATGACAAGAGAACGAGCATGCCTCTGACAGATCTCAGACAGTGCTTTCGGCCCAGCCTGCATCTAACGCTGCCCCGGCCCCCTCCCTGGAGCAGGCTGGGCTCCCTCATTAGAAACTGGGTGAGTCCTGCAAGTGGGGTCCCCCCAGATGAGCCTGGGACAGAGCAGGGCCCTGTGGCCTCCGCTCTGCCCTCCTGCACATGAGGGTGCAGGAGGCCCAGGCCCTGCCTCCCCGGAGGCCCTCTGGAGGACCAGGGAGAGGAGGCGGAGGGTCCGTGCAGCCTGCCAAGACGATGTCCAATTTCCAATCTCCGGTTTTATCTCCAAATCCCGGCTCTGTGTAATCTCCACTGCCCTCAAGGGCCGCTTGGTGAAGGAGCAAGAGCCTTCGCCTCTCTGTTGACGGAGTTCCCTCCGAGCCTGATAAGACGGGTTGTTTTTCATCTTGATCTGGCCTGGTTGCGGGACACTGAGCCGAGGGGGTTCTGCGGGGCTGATGGAGTTTGGAGGCTGCCTCAGGGAGGGGGCTCACCTAGTGTCTAATGAGGGTGGGGAGGTCTGCATGTCCTGACCCTTCTGCACCCACCGTAGCCAGTAGCACAGGCGCTTGGAGGGGCGATGCCGAGAGAGCTCCCCACCCCCCGAAAAGGAAATAGATGAGGGCGAGGGTGCGGATGATCCTGGAATGTTTTGGCTCGGGCATTAGAAGCTGGTGGCTATGAGGGACTGTGGGCGGAGGGGCCGCAGGGACCAGGGCCCCACGGCCGCTCTGCTCTCCTCCTGGCCCCACCAGAAGCCCAGTGCAAACCCTACTACTCGGACTACTCCCGCTTCCGGCTCCTCGTCCACAACTTCTGCACCAGCCACTACCTGGACCTCTTCATCACCGGCGTCATTGGGCTGAACGTGGTCACCATGGCCATGGAGCACTACCAGCAGCCCCAGGTAGGAGTGAGGGGCCCGCCTCCTGCTGTGGGGCCACGGGGTGAGACCCGCCACGCCTGAGCTGGCGCTCTGCATGGGTTCCTCTTGTACCCTCCTCTCTCCATCCCGGGAGGCGGGTCTCATCTCGGTTTGACGGGTGAGGATACAGCCTCAGAGAGGTTCATTGACTTGACCAAGGCCACACAGCTTGAAAGTAGGGGACCTGACTTCTTCACCCAGCTCACAGGGACTGAGTGCCTGCCCTGTGCTGGCTCTGGGCCTGGGAGGGTAGAGAAGGCAGACTGGCCCTAGCCTAGCCGGTGTTGCTACGTGGTTAGAGCATTGGCCCAGGCACAGAAGGGTCTCGAGTTCAATCCCCAGTCCCAGCTGGGACATGTGTAGGAAGCAACCAATTGATAGTGTCTCTTTCACATTCATGTTTCTCTGTTTCCCTCTCTGTCTCTCCCACTCTCTCTAAAAAAAAAAAAAAAAAAAAATCAATGGAAAAAATACCATTGAGTGAGGATTAACAAAAATAAAATAAATGTAAAAAGAAGGCAGACCAGTGCCAGCCCTCTGGAGTGTGTGTTCTATTGAATGCCCAGCCCCCAAACTCACCAACGACCGTGCCACTCCTCGCATCAGCTTTCACAGCTGCCCTCCTGGCCTCAGTTTCCCCATCTGTAAAATAGGAACATTGAACTGGTAACGCCCAAGGCCCCTTCCAGTTCTTGCCTTCTCTGCCTTCCAGCACATTTGTCACGGGGGCTCCTCACCGTCCCTCAGAGATCCTTTAGCACAGAGTTTGGGTGATGCCCGAGAATGGGGACCCTACTCTGTCTGAGAGCAGAAAGCAGTGGTCAGCCAACATGGCGGGAACAGAGAAGAAAGGTCCTCTCAGACTCCCCTGTCTCCCAGATCTGGGAGGTGTGATTGGCGGGTGGAGGGGAGCAGCAAGTAGCACCCCTGGCCTTATCCGTCGTGCCCCATCCCTGCCAGATCCTGGACGAGGCTCTGAAGATCTGCAACTACATCTTCACCATCATCTTCGTCTTGGAGTCAGTCTTCAAACTCGTGGCCTTTGGCTTCCGTCGGTTCTTCCAGGACAGGTGACAGAGAGGGGAAGGGGACAGGTGACAGGGGAAGGGGACAGGTGACAGGGGAAGGGGACAGGTGACAGAGGAGAAGGGGACAGGTGACAGAGGAGAAGGGGGCAGGTGACAGGAGAAGGGGACAGGTGACAGAGGAGAAGGGGACAGGTGACAGAGGAGAAGGGGGCAGGTGACAGGGGAAGGGGACAGGTGACAGAGGAGAAGAGGACAGGTGACAGGGGAAGGGGACAGGTGACAGAGGGGAAGGGGACAGGTGACAGGGGAAGGGGACAGGTGACAGAGAGGGGAAAGGGACAGGTGACAGGGGAAGGGGACATGTGACAGAGGAGAAGGGGACAGGTGACAGGGGGGAAGGGGACAGGTGACAGGGGGGAAGGGGACAGGTGACAGAGAGGGGAAGGGGGCAGGTGACAGAGGAGAAGAGGACAGGGGACAGGTGACAGAGGAGAAGGGGACAGGTGACAGGAGGGTTTGGGAGTAGGGGAGGACCTAGAGTCTAGAAGGAAGGGAACTTGACTTGAAGGGAACTGGGGGGCAGGGGCAGCTGGAAATCAGTGTGGCCTAGACTGGGGCTTAAGAGCAGAGAGCGGGAGCCAGACTTCCTGGACCAGATCTGAATCCTGGCTCTACCACTTAGAAACTGGTGGCCTTGGGTAAGTTCCTTAAAGTCTCTGTGCCTCCATTTCCTCATCTGTAAAATGGGCGATACTATGTCCATATCACAGAGCCGTAAAGCTTTCCTGTTTATAAAGTCCTTAGAACAGTGCTTGGCACATAGCAAACAGCATGTACGGTAAGCGCTAAATGAAACAGCAAATGAAGGACAAGGAAGAGCAGAGGCCCTCAAGCTGAAGTCCTAGCCCTGCCTGTGCCACCGTCTGGACTGGCCACGTGACATAGACAAGCGACCTCCACCCTCCTTTCTGGAGCCCAAACTGCCTCCTCCTCCTCCTCCTCAGATTTCCCCCCCTTCCCCCCCCACACACACACTCAGGGGCCTGTGTCCTGGGTTCCAGGTGGAACCAGCTGGACCTGGCCATCGTGCTGCTGTCCATCATGGGCATCACGCTGGAGGAGATCGAGGTCAACGCCTCGCTGCCCATCAACCCCACCATCATCCGCATCATGAGGGTGCTGCGCATCGCCCGAGGTCAGTGCCAGCTGCCTGCCCACACACTCCCCTCCCTGGGTGACCGGCCCTTGGGGGGAGATTCCAGGGGTCGGCTCGGGCGCTGGCCAGGGTCTGGGTAGGTGTGGGTTCCCGTGGGATTGTGAGTATTTCTCCCGGCCTCCACCAAAGGGGACAGTGGGGCTGGGCTGAGGGTGGCAGTGGCTCGCTGGGGCCAGTCACCCTGCCTGCCCCGGCCCTGGCCGCGGCCCCACCAGCCACGTGACCTGGGACTCCGAGGGGCCTGCTCACGACTCTGTCCTTTCTGCAGTGCTAAAGCTGCTGAAGATGGCCGTGGGCATGCGGGCGCTGCTGGACACGGTGATGCAGGCCCTGCCCCAGGTAGCCGGGAGGAGGGGCCGGTGGGAGGGTCCTCTCGGGGCGGGAGGCGCTCTCTGAGGGGCGGGGGTAAGGGGGGCCCTCAGGGAAGCTGGCGGGGAGACCCAGCGGCACCTTTTCCATTTCTTTTCCTCTTTTCCAGGTGGGGAACCTGGGACTTCTCTTCATGTTGTTGTTTTTCATCTTTGCAGCTCTGGGCGTGGAGCTCTTTGGAGACCTGGGTGAGTTGGGGCGGGGAGGGTGGGGGGAGCCGGGCCGGGGGACCCCGGGCCTCCTGAGCTAACTCGGGCCTCTCTCCCCCCTTCCCGCCTCCAGAGTGTGACGAGACGCACCCCTGCGAGGGCCTGGGCCGGCATGCCACCTTCCGGAACTTTGGCATGGCCTTTCTGACCCTCTTCCGAGTCTCCACGGGGGACAACTGGAACGGCATTATGAAGGTGAGAGCCACCCGCACAGGGTACCCCCAGGGCTGGCTTGGGCCCCGAAAGACAAGCCCTACATCTTGAGCCAAGAGTCCTTGGCGAGATGTGACTAAAAGCACGTGCCCTGCGGAAACCGGTTTGGCTCAGTGGATAGAGCGTCGGCCTGCGGACTGAAGGGTCCCAGGTTGATTCCGGTCAAGGGCATGTACCTTGGTGGCGGGCACATCCCCGGCAGGGGGTGTGCAAGAGGCAGCTGGTCGATGTTTCTCTCTCATCGACGTTTCTAGCTCTCTATCTCTCTCCCTTCTTCTCTGTAAGAAAAATCAATAAAATATATATTTTTTAAATAAATAAATAAAAATAAAAGCACATGCCCTGCTACCCCCTCCCCCCCCAATGCCGGGACACCACACCTCCCTCTCCCCGGGTCATGTTCTGACTCACGCTTCCCAGGCCAGTGTCTAACGCTGCCCCCGGCCCCATTCCTCCCCCCCCCCACCCCTCCTCCTCCTCCCCACACAGTGGGTCCCTCCCCTGCCCTTCCGTCTCCTCCTTCATGCTCTGTGACCCCGGTGAGCCGATTTCCCATGACAGCTCCCTCCGCTGTCCGCCCGGCCTCACCGCTCTGCCCGCCCCCGCCCAGGACACCCTCCGGGACTGTGACCAGGAGTCCACCTGCTACAACACGGTCATCTCCCCCATCTACTTCGTGTCCTTCGTGCTGACGGCCCAGTTTGTGCTGGTGAACGTGGTGATCGCCGTGCTGATGAAGCACCTGGAGGAGAGCAACAAGGAGGCCAAGGAGGAGGCCGAGCTGGAGGCCGAGCTGGAGCTGGAGATGAAGCCGCTCAGCCCGCAGCCCCACTCGCCGCTGGGCAGCCCCTTCCTCTGGCCCGGGGCCGAGGGCCCCGACAGCCCCAAGCCCGGGGCCCCGCACGCCGGAGCAGTCTCCTCTCGCTACTCCCTGGAGCACCCCACGGTGAGCACCCGTCCCCACCTGCGAGAGGGGGTATGGGCACCGGGACCAGGGGGCGGGTGGCCAGTGGCTCAGTGGGTGGTACACAGGGTGTGGGCAGCACAGGGACCCAAGGGCTCCCCGGCCCTCCTGCTGCTCCTGTCTGGATGTGGGGGGACCAGCAGTCCCCTGCCCATCCCCAGCGATGGCGGCCCACACTCACTGCCCAGCACCACCACGTGCTGGCTCTCTCACCCCTGAGCCTCCGCCGGCCTGGCCTCCCCTTCCTGGCTCTCAGGTTCAAGGCTAAGTTTTCTGTTTCCTTCCTGTTTCTTTCTTACCCTTGCCCAATTACCAAACCTCTTTCCCTCCCACCCTCAACCTGCCCGGTTCCATCTCTCAAACCTTTCCCCCAATCTCCCCTTTCCTCCTCCCTCTCCCTGTGGGCTCTTATCTTCCATCTCCCATCTCCCCTTCCTCTCCCCAACCCTCTCTCTTTCCCACATTCCCCTTCCCTCCTCTTCCTCTGGCTCTTTGTTGCTGTGTGTGCCCACGTGTGTGTGTGTGTGTGTGTGTGTGTGTGTGTGTGTGTGTCCTCCTCTTTCTCCATCTGTGTCTCTGGCCAATCCCCTGCCACCACACTTCCCCTCACTGCCCCTCTGACCCCCGTTCCCTGACTCTCCGGCTCCCCCTATGGGCTGGTCCTTCCCAGGACAGACAGATGTTTGACACCATATCCCTGCTGATCCAGAGCTCCCTGGAGGGGGAGCTGAAGCTGATGGACGAGCTGGCGGGCCCAGAGGGCCAGCCCTCTGCCTTCCCTCCGGCCAGCAGCCCGGGCGGCTCCGACCCACAGGTTACTGTGCCCGCGCTGTGCCTCCTTCCCTGCCCTGCGAGCTGTGCCGTGCTGTGCCTGCTTCTGGGGAGGTGGGGCGTGCCCTGCGCGCTGGGGCCCTGGAGGAGGAGCGGCCCGAGGGCCTCCGCTGAGCTTTGGGCTTGGCAGGAGGCACCCAGGTGTCCCTCCCTGAGATGAAGCTCTGGATCCCCTCACTGGAAGGGAAGGGGGCTGAGACGGGACTTCTGAGGGAGAGGATGGGTGGAGGCGGGGTGTGGAGAGTGGAGGAGGCGAGGTGCCGGGCCCCAGGGAGAGAGGCCTCTGGGTGCAGAGCAGGCGGCAAGGGGACCCACGAGGGACAGGCTTAGGCCACCGTCTTCCTCCTCTGAACCCACCCCTGTCCTCCGTGTGGAGGCTTTTTAAGCCATGGGACCCCCCGGGCATGACGGGTGCGGGCAGGAGCCCGTGGATGCTAACCTGGTCCTGAGGAAGGACAGATGGCTCCCGCTGGGAGTGGATTCAGGGACGTGGGTGTGACTAAGGCTCGGCTTCCTCCTCCAGGCCAACCCCTTCCCACGGGGCCACAGGCTTTGCTCCCCCAGGCCCGTCTAGGTGTGGATCTTCCGCTTTCTGGGGTCTTCTTCTCCCCCCGTAACCTCTCTGGCTGCCCTTGACCCTCCACATGGCAGAGCACCCCCTCCCCACCCCCCTCCTAGGCTAGGGGCTACGGTAGACCTGGAGCATAGGCAAGGAAACAGGTGTCAGCTGGAGACTGAAAAGCCTCAAGTCGCACCGGCCCTGTTGGGTGAAGGGGGGACAGGCGGGTCCCAGGGTCTGGGACACCTGCATCCGGATCCAGAGGGATGTCCGGTGGTCCTCCCAGGGGAAGGGGCTGGTTGCCGGGGTTCCCCAGAGAGCAGAGGGAGCGCCAGCCCTTCCTGAGGCCCCCGCCTGGAGGAGGCCCAGGGGAAAGGTGCTGAGAGAGAAGAGGGTGTGATGAGAAGGGGTCAGGGCAGCCAGCTCATCAGGCCCGGATGGTCCCCCTGCCCCCCTGTCCCCAGGGCCTGTAGGCACTGACATCCTTCTCCCCCGACCCCCAAGCAGGTTCCAGGTGAGACAGCCGAGGTGTGGCGGCCCAGCCAGGTGTGCCCAGTGCAGGCTGGCCAGAGGGGAGCATCTCCCAGCTGCCATGCCAGCAGGCAGAGGAGGCCGGGAGGGGAGAAGCCAGAATCCAGAGCAGGCCAAGTCCTGCCAGGCCTTTGGAAGCAGAGAGAATAGGCAGAGAGCAGGCATCAGATTGGCGGCTTTGTCCCCAGCACCCCCCATGCCGCCGCCGCCGTCTGTGCTGAGAGCAGAGAGGCACTGGCCTTCTGCTCCCCCCCTCCCCCAATCCTCATGAGAGTAAAACCCTACCCCCACCCCGCTCCCCGGGGGGGGGGGCACTGTTAGGCTCCTGGGGGATCTTTAGAATACGTTCCTGTGTCTCCTGCTTTTGTCAGTGTTTGCCCTGGCTCTTTGGTGCCTGCCGCAGCCTCTCTGATCAGAGTGGGGTTGAAGTGGGGGAGGGGGAGTGGTGACGGTGAAGGCGGGGAGAGAGAAAGGAGGCCTCTTTTCCCTGTGCTTCGTGGAAAGGGGGACAGAGGGGCTCTGTGTGTGTGCGTGTGCGCTGCATGTGTGTGCGTGAGTGCTCTCCGTCCCGGTTTCTCACGCCTGATCATCTCTCTCCCTGTCTAGATCCCTCTAGCTGAGATGGAGGCTCTGTCTCTGACGTCAGAGATTGTGTCTGAACCGTCCTGCTCTCTAGCTCTGACGGATGACTCTTTGCCTGATGACACTCACACACTCTTACTTAGTGCCCCGGAGAGCAATAATGTACATGCACCGCCCCTCGCTGCTCCCCCAGCCTCCCGGGGGGCTGGGCTGGCTGCCGGGCTCCAGGTCCCCCCCCCCCCCCTGCTCCCATCAGAGCCCCATAACCACAGGCACTTAGTGCCCCAGGCTTTGTTAGGGCTCTGGATCCCCCACTGTGGACAAAGAAATTAGATCATGTGAAATCGGGGCTTCCCCCAGAAAGGCCCAGGGGCTACCGTTGTGAAGGGGTTGATCCAGATCCCCAGGAGTGACAGCCCAATGCAGAGGTGGCATCAGGATGCAGAACCAGCCTCCAAGTTTGGAGCCCTGTGCCAGCCAGCCCTCCCCCTCCCTGCAACCCCTTTCCCACCTGCCCTCCCCCGCCACACCCCGGCCATCCGCCACCACCTAGTGGGTAAGAGCCACGTTTCCGCTGCCACCATCTTGCCCTTTTCCACCGGGGGGGGGGGGGGGGGTCCTGTCTTCTCTGTCAGTGTCCCTGTGTGTCCCTGTGTCCCGGGGACTTCTTTGTGTTTTGACAGCTTCTCCACCCTTGCCCGACCCCTGGTCCCTTCTGACTATGAGCAGCCCCCTCCTCCCTCCCGTCTCCTTCCTCCTGGGACTTAAGAGGGGACTGGGACCCCCTTCCTCACGGCAGGGCTCTGGGCTGGCCACAGGCTGGGGCCCCTAGGGGTCTTGGGGTGGGTGCACAAGTGGAACCTGAGCTAAGAGGGGGGAGCAAAGGAGCCAGGCCCAGTGGGCTGCTCGCCGGCTGGGCCGTGTGGGACCCTGCAGCCTCCCTGAGAACTGGGACCGGACGGGGAGAGGGACAGGGCAGGGGGGGGGGTGGAGACTTTTCTTGGGAGCAAACCGTGTCTCCCGCTGCCTGGGATCAAAGGCTGGTCCCTGCCTTTCTTTGAAGTAGATTCCAAACACCCACCTTAACGCCCAGTCTCCCCACTGGGGAGGTCCCAGCACCCCCCACTGTGTGATTAAAGGGGAGAGGGAGGCAGCGGGGAAGCCAGCTGTGACAGCCCCGTGTTCATCGGCCATCCAGCCTGTTACCTCAGCCGTCCCCTTACAAACCAGTGGGGACACGGAAGGCAGTCCCAGCTGCCACGTCTCCTGCTCACTGGGGGGCCCTCCCTGTTCCCAGGCCCCCCTCAGCCCAGCAAGGGGACTGCGGGAGGCTTTAGCTTTTCACCCTCCCTGGGGGCCTTCAGCGCCTCTCCTGGGGCCTTGAGAATGAGCTCTTAATCCAGGCTGGGGGCTGGGGGCTGCTCTCCCTCCTCTGGACCCCTCCTCACCTTCCACCCCATCCCCCCAACCCCCCCGGAGGCTCCAAGGGTTACAGTGTGGATGGTTTTGTGGGGCCGGGGCCTCCTGCCACCCCCTTCCTCCCTGTGTCTGGAGGCTCCTCCTGTGTCTGCCCCTCTGCCTCACCACTCATCCCATCACCGCCTTGTCCGAGAAGGGATGGGGGCCGGGCCTCGGGCGGTGGCGAGGGTGGGGAGCTTTTGGCTTCTCTTGTCCATCGCTGCCTCAGTTACCCAATCGGGATGCCCCCTCTCCCGCCCCCTCCCTCCCCGGTTTCTTTTGCAGAGGGGGCCCCGCCCGGGGGAGGTGCCAGACCTGCTGGCCGTGCGGAAGTCCGGGGTCAGCCGCACGCACTCTCTGCCCAACGACAGCTACATGTGCCGGGACAGAAGCACTGCCGAGGGGTCCCCGGGACACAGGAGCTGGGGGCTCCCCAAAGCTCAGTCAGGTACCAGGGCCCGGGGCGAGCCAGCATGGCTCACACTGGGGGACCCCATCCTTGACCAGGCTCAGTCCTTACCTGGGGGGAAACTGAGGCAAACAGGGCCCTCCTCCTTCTGAGGAGCCTCCAGCCCCTGCCTGTGGGAGGTGGCTTTCGAACGGGGTGAGGGTTCTGTGGGAAGGTGGAGGCTCTGATGGGGGACGGAGAGAGGAAGGGAGGGGCCTCTGGTGGGAGCCAGATTGGCGGGCCCTTCAGCTCTTCTCTGTCCTCCTTCCCCCGTCCTCCCGCCCCCCACAGGCTCCGTCTTGTCCATTCACTCCCAGCCAGCAGACACCAGCTACATCCTGCAGCTTCCCAAAGATGCGCCCCGTCTGCTCCAGCCCCACGGCGCTCCCACGTGGGGCGCCATCCCCAAACTGCCCCCGCCGGGCCGCTCCCCTCTGGCTCAGAGGCCCCTGAGGCGCCAGGTAAGCAGGAGCGGAGAGATGGGATGGGCCTGAGGGCCAGCCTCTCCGCGGGGAAGCCTCGGTTGTTGGCAATGACCAAGGTGGCCTCTTCCCTTCTCCCGGCAAACGCTGGCTGTGAGCCAGTGGCAGGCCAGCCCAGGCACAGGACCCAAGGCCAGACCAAGTGTTGGCCCCCCTCCCTGTTTCACTGGAGGCCGGAGGGGGCCAGGCTTCTGATTCCCTCTTCCCCACCCAGAGCTGCCTCCCGTTCTCTGTATTTCTAAGGGGCAGGAGGCCCAGTTTTTGTTGTTGTTGTTGTTTGTTTTTTTAAAATATTTTTATTGATTTAAGCAAGGCAGGGAGAAAGAAAGAAAGGTAGAAACATCAATTAAGGATGAGAGAGAATCATTGATCGGCTGCCTCCTGCACACTCCCTCCTGGGGATGGAGCCCACAGCCCGGGGCATGAGCCCTGACTGGGTCTCGAACTGGGACCTCCTGGTTCATAGGTCGACGCTCAACCACTGAGCCACACCGGCTGGGCAAGAGGCACATTCTAGGGGTCCCCATCTTTGGCCAAGCCCGGGGCCCACCGTGTGGAGGCCACACTCCAGGGGCCCAGAGCAGAGGTGAGGCTTGTGTGTTCTCCAGCCACAAGCCCACAGCCCATGCGGTGTGTGTCCTTAGGTCTGAGCGTGGCCACGTGAGCATCTGCTCAAGCCCACCCACTGGGGGAACAGGCACGGTCCCCATCCATCCTGTGGATAGTCCCTGAGCAGTCCCTGTGTGCCAGGCCCGGGGAGGCAGACAAATGAGACAGCCCCGCCCTCCGGAGCGCAGGGTGTGACAGCAGACGATACCCGTCAGCCTCTGCAGGGACGGGTCACGGCTGAGACGGTCGGGGGCCTGGGGCAGCAGGGAGAGAAAGGAGTGCGTTTTATGGGAGGGCAGAGGTGGTCGGGCTGTACATCCCAGAGGACCGGAGCCCTTGGAGTTGAGGGTGTTTCGGGCCAAAGAGGCAGGGAGGCACGAGGGAGCGAGCTGGCCCAGTGCCTCCTTGGGTCCCAGGGGCTGGGAATGGCAGGCCTCGGGGAGACACGCAGGGGGGCAGTGGCGAGAGGGCCCGATGCACATGTATCTCTCAACAAGAGTAAGGTGACCAGACGTCCCGCTTTTGGCGCGACAGTCCCGATTTGTAACAATTCGTCCCGCGTCCCGCAGTGTTTTGGGGGAAAATCGGGACTTTTTTAAAACGCCGCGGGATGCGGGACAAATTGTTAGAAATCGGGGCTGTCCCGCCAAAAGCGGGACGGCTGGTCACCTTAAACAAGAGCGAATACAGGACCCTTTGCTTAGGGTGGTCCTGCAGCCGCCTGGGCGGGGAGGAGGGGGCGCTCTGGCTTGCCGGGAGGAACAGCTAACGGGGAAGAGGAAGCCCCCAGGCTGAGCCCTCTCCCCATCCCATACAGGCAGCAATAAGGACCGATTCCCTGGACGTCCAGGGCCTCGGCAGCAGGGAGGACCTGCTGTCAGAGGCCAGCGGGCCCTCCCCGCCCCTGGCCCGGACCTCCTCCTTCTGGGGCCGGCTGAGCAGCCCGGCGCAGCATCCCTGCGGCCAGAGCAAGACCTTGAAGCACACACCCTCGCCAGCCCCCTGCCCGGGCCCAGAGCCCACCTGGGGCCAAAGCCCGCTGGAGACCAGGAGCAGCTTGGAGCTGGACACGGAGCTGAGCTGGGTTTCCGGAGGCCTCCTGCCGGCGGGCGGCCAGGAGGCGCCCCCGTCCCCGCGGGACCTGAAGAAGTGCTACAGCGTGGAGGCGCAGAGCTGCGGGCGCCGGCCCGCGTCCTGGCTGGAGGAGCAGAGGCGGCACTCCATCGCCGTCAGCTGCCTGGACAGCGGCTCCCAACCCCACCTGGACCCCGGCCCCTCTGGCCTCGGGGGGCCTGGGGGCCGGCCCAAGAAAAAACTCAGCCCACCCAGTATCTCTATAGACCCCCCCCAGGGCCAGGGCGCTCGGCCCCCACCCAGCCCTGGCATCTGCCTCCGGAGGAGGGCTCCGTCCAGCGACGCCAAGGATCTCTCGGCCTCCGGCCCCCCTGACAGCATGGCTGCCTCGCCCTCCCCAAAGAAAGACACGCTGGGTGTCTCCGGTTCACCGGCCGACCCAGCAGACTTGGACCCCTGAGTCCTGCCCCACCCTCCCTCTCACCTTTCTCCACTGGGTGCCAAATCCTAGCTCCTCCTCTTGGGCTATCGTCCCCACAGATGTTCCATGTGGACACCCAGGAGGCGCCCTCCCTCCCTCCCTCGGTGGCGCTGGGCACGGGCAGAAGCCGGATGTCCAGCGAATGGGAAGCAGCAGCCCTGCCCACCCCGGCTCCCGGCAGGAGGAGAAGCCGGTGCAGCTGTTGGGAGAAAGCAATACGTTTGTGCAGAATCTCTGTGTATATTCTATTTTATTAAATTAATTGAATCTAGTAATATGCGGGATGTACGGCCTTTTGTGACTGAAGAGACTTGTTTCCTTCTACGTTCATGTTGTCTCAGAATATTTTTGAGGCGAAGGCGTCTGTCCCGGCTATTTTAACCTAAAATAACCAGTCTAGTTATATGCCCCCTCTTCTTGCAAAAAGCACAAGCTGGGACGGCGAGTGCATCACAGCCCTGACGGTGGTGACCCATCTGCAGCGGAGAGCCAGGACCATTTTGGAAACTGTAATGTAACTTATTTTCTCCTTGAACCTCGTCATCATTTTCTGTAGGAAAAAAAAAAAAGAAAGAAAAAAGAAAAAGAGAGACAAAGAAAAAAAATACGATTTTACAAATGAAATGAAACCTTTTTATATAAATATACGTACATACATATCTATATCTATATATCTATATCTATATAATAAAGTAATTTTCCAAAATAAAGTTAATCACGGTCCAGAGTAAAAAAGCACAAGGCATAGAGAGGCATTTCCAGATGGAATTGGGGAGAGATTCCTGGAGGTGGGGAGTGGGCGGTGGGAGGGAAGGGATCAACGCTGCCTTTGCTTGTGTGTGTGTGTGTGTGTATGGTTGTGTATGAGTGTGTGAGGGTGTGTGTATGTATAAGTGGTATGAGTGTATTATGAGTGTTTGTGTATATGAGTGTGTATAAGCGGATGTGTGTGAGTGTGTGTATGAGTGAGTGTGTGTGTGTGTGTGTGTGTGTATATATGATATGTAAGAGTGTATATATAGGAGTGAATGTCTGTGAGTGTATGTGTGTGTATATATGAGTATATATGTATTTGTTCATGTCTGAGGCAAAAAGAACCCACATGCCTCTCCCTGGAGGCTGCAACCTCCCAGCCTGACCTCCCTGGAGAAGCCGCCCCTCTGCATGGGGGGGGGGGGGGAGGCTGGGCAGGCAGGACCCACTCTGGCTTCGATCAGAGCTTTATCGCTGCTTCCTCGGAGCTGAACAGCTCTGTGAATGTAACTCCAGATTAACTCTTATTTCTGCTGACAGCTCTCAGCCTTGCACTGAAAGCTGGAAATTGGCATAATGAAGCTGTTTTGGTTAATGGGGCCGATGGAGGCTGGGAGAGGCAGCTTCAGCTGCTGAGATCCCAACCCGGGGCTGGTGGGGGCGGGGTGGGGCCTCAGGGTTTTCCTTTCCCAGCTTCCGCAGGGCGACCTCCGCAGCCGGGGTCTGGGCTTCAGTTGCGGGAGTCACTGACCCGTGTGGACACCAGCCCATTAGGACAGGCGGCGGGACTGAGCTATATAAACAGAGAGCTGCTGTCTCCCGAGGTGGAGGGGAACAGGGCCAGGTGTCCAGTGGAATGGGTAGGTCGGGAAGCCAGGCTGTGTGGGGAGCTGGCCCCCGGGGCTGATGAGTGAGAACCCACAAGGTGTTCATACTGCCTGCTGCTGCCTGCCCAGTGGGAGCAAGCAGAGGAGGGAGGGAGGGGAAGGGAGGAGAGGAAGAAGGGGAGAGGAGGAGGGGCTAGCGACATGGCCCAGAACCTCCTTTCTGGTGCTGGTGGGGGCAATAGTCTCTGATCTGAAACCCTGGTGCCCAGAGGTGGCGCCACAGGCCCCACGTTAGGCTCAACCAGCCTGTTCCCTGCTAGCCACCCAACCCCAATCCTTCTCCTTCCAACTCCAGGAAATGTCAACAGCAGCTGGCAGCTTTCACTCCCAGCTCCTCCCCATCTGAACCTGGGACCAGGGGGGCCTCGGGGGTGTGCCAGACGGCTGGGTGATGAACCAGGAAGCTTTTTCCAATCTGGTGTTTCCTAACCTGGGCAGAAATGATACCACTCCTTAAAGCAAAAGCCTGGTTTGATTCTCTTGGAGTCTGACCCAAAAACCTGCAATAATGTCAGATTCTATTTCCTCTGTCCTCCTCGGGTGGGGAAGGGGGGAGGGTGCTCATAGAAGCTGCCTTCTTCTTCTTTTTTCTTTTTTTTTTTAGCCAAATTGTACAAAATTCCTAGAGTTTTGTGACCTAGGCTTGCAGATGAAGCTTGTATATTTTTGTAGAATTCCGTAGCTGTCTATTCCTTAGTGAGGCTGGGGATTATGGGAAAGGGGCTCTGGGGTCTCTAACAGTTGGAGGATTCTGGGTCACGATTAAGCCAGAGAGCAGAGCTGCCACCCTGTCCCCTCCATCCCAGCCCAGGACCCCTCAGCGTCAACGTGGCTCTCTGAGGGAGGGGATCAATCCTGGCCTCTCCCCCAACCATGTAACCTCTTTATCAATGATGGAAACTGTTGTGTCCCATTACAAGAGTTTGAAATGGAAATGATGGCACTACTGAATCTTATCAACAGTTATAATAATAACAATGACGCTGACCTCATGATGCTTGTGTGAATGGCTTTTTATTCTGCTCCAGGATGCGGGGCAGGGTAGGGGTTGGGGGTTGGGGGGAAGGGGAGACTGAGGAGGCTGGGGGTGGGGAGGGGCTGCTGGGGAGGCAGCAGGTCTTGAATTAGTGCCTCCAGGGGCAGAGTTGGAATTGAGTCAGAACTTCAGGGATGTGGGGGCTTGGGGTGGGGTGGGGGAGGGGTAAGAACATCCATCTTGGCACATGTGCTCTGAGCCTCCTCCTTGAGGGTCCAGAAGAAATCATGTCAGCAGCTGTATGCCCCCCCTCAGGCTTGGCTGCTTCTGCTTCCTGTACCCCCAGACGTTAGAAAAAGGTCTGTCAGGGGGTAGGGAATTGTGAGACGAGGAGTGAGCTGAGCTGGTGCTAAAAACAAACCTGAGACTCACCGGCAGTCTCTCACTCATTCCTCACAGCACCCTCGCAAGGGATGCACCATTGCTCTCAGGTCCCCACGAGGCTGTGGGTTCAGAGAGGTTCCGAGACTTGCCCAAGGTCACACAGCCAGGAAATGACAGGCTTTCTGCGAGTCTGGCCAACTTACAGTCCACTGGCTTCACACGACCCCGCCGCTTCTCCTGAGGGGGGTGGTGAAAGGGCCTCGCCACGGTGGCCTTTTCCAAGCGATGCCACTCGTGTTCATAGAAATGTACCGATGAGCTCCCAGCTCGGCACACCTGGAGGCCTAGAGCAGCCCCAGCCCCAGCCCTGCGTGGGGAGAGAGGTCCCACCCTAAGCAACAAAAGGGGTCCCTAAGCTCCAGGTGCCTGTGCATGGGCTGGCCACGGCGGCTCTGCAATCACCCAGTCTCCCAGAAACCACCTTTCCCTGACATAACGCTGCCCTCCCACCCCCGAGCACCCCCTCCTTCTCCCAGGCCCCTGTCCCTTTGTCCTCGTCCCCTGCCCCACTCAGTCCTCCATCATCACCCGTAGTCCCCACCCATCACCGCCTGGTGCCCTGTGGCCTCCTGTCTGCTCTCCTGGGCTAGCTGAGCGGCCTGACCTGTAGGGCTGGTGACAGCAGTGCAGCGAGGGCATCAGACACCACATGCAGCACCAGCCACCTACACCGGGTGCCACCCCACCCAGCGTCCCCTCTGCAGAGGTACCAAGCCAGGGAGAGGACACCAACACGTGGACATGCTCTATGGACAGGTGCTCTGCGTCCTCCATCCCCAAAGGAGGAAACAGGCTCTCGGGGCCCAGGGAAGGGCCTGGTCTGTGGTTGGGGAAGCCCTGTCATCAGAGTGCTTAGCCCTGGTACCCAGGGATCCCTGCCTAAGGCCAGGGACCAGGGCTAATCCAAACAGCGGTCTCTAGGAGGGGAATTCACTCTCCAAAGTGAGTTTAGTTGTCGGCTGGCGTCCTGCTCGGAGGGCACAGCTAAGCAGATGAGAGAGGCTGCAGCTCCAGCGAATGCCCAGGTGGGGATTCTGCAAGGGAACATTGGAACTGACTTAGCGCTGGTCCAGGTGTGGGAAATGCTGACGGTGGCCCACGGAGCTAATTAATTCTTCTTGTCTTGGAAATTCCTGAGTCGGGCACAGCAGCCGGTGCTTACACGCATGCCAAATCAGATCAAGTGCAGGCTGCGGGCAGAGAGCCAGCCTTGCTGAGGCCAGGAGTGAGATCAGCGTGGCCTCCACCAGGACGGGGTCTAGAGGAAGCAGCAGAGGAAGGGGAGGTCGGAGTTTGGGAACTGGAGGCTGGTGAGGGTGAGGAGACACCAGGGGCAGTGATGGGAGCTAGAAGCCTGCCTTTGCCATTCCACAGTCTCCTCCTTGTCTTGTCCATTCCCATCTCACTCTCCCTTGCAGCGTTTCCTGTCCTTGGGCCTCTTGGTCCCCACCTCGCTCTGCTTTCTTCTTTTCTCTGTTGTCATTCCTGCTCAGAGCTGTACCTTGAAATCGTCTTATCTTTTCATCTCCCTGCCAGGAAATCCAGGAAGCTGGCTTCCCCTGGGATGCTCACTGACAGGGGAGGCTCGCAGCACATGCTCTGTCCATCCTGCCTGGAGCTGCAGGCAGCTGGGGGGTGGGGGGGCGGGGAGGCTGAGGCTGGGGCACTCAAATCGAAGGAGGTTCAGTCCCTCTCTTTGCTGCAGCCCAGCCCACAGGTCATTATTGCTCCTCTTGGTTCCGAACGCTCCACGCAGCGTGGACAGTGCCCATAGTGTGTGTGCTAAGGTCACAGTGACCTTGCTACCTACAATCTCCTTTTAGGACATGAGCTACGTGTGTTAAAGGTGAACGGCACCAACTATTAGTCCTCGGCCCTTGAGTTTGGCTAAGGAAGAATTCAGAACCAAGACGCAAACACAAGCAGATGTGTATTTAGAAAGTCACCGAGGTATGAGTGAGTGAGCCAGCTGGGTCGTATGAGCTCAGGGGACAAGTTACAGAGGCTGAAGAAGGGCCCCTGGAGCTGAGGGAAAAGAAAGACAAGACGCACCTGGAGGAAGAGGGGGGAAAGGTAGGGGTGTGCTCCGGAGAGCAAGAGAGAGCTGGGGCCTTGCCTTAAGGGCTCTATCTAAAGGCCCCAGGCAAAGTCTCCATAGAAGATGCATTTGCTTTCCAGGTGTATCTCGTCAGTGTCATGGTCTCCACTGATTGGTTGGCTTGGGGGGGAGCAGGGTGGGGGAATCTTTAGTCAGAGCAGCTGGTCCACTCTTTCATCGCTGCTTTTCTGGACCTGGAGCTAACATGCAACGGAAGCCAGAGACTTGGTCTCTGTGGTCAGCAGGCCAGAGGCTTGGTTCCTAAGACTATTCGATGTGGGCCAGAACCTTGATGCTTCAGGGAGGGGTCCTGCAAGGGCCTGTATGGGAACCATAGGAGGCTTTGGTCCGGTCCCCTTGTTCCTCCTCTCAGAGGGTCTATCTACCATGTGATTAGAGACATGCTAGGGGAGCAAAGGTCGGGGGGAGGTCTGAGCTGCACGATCGGCGATATGAAAGGTCAAGGGGTCTAAACATGGTGACCAGCGATATGCTAGAGGGGGAGAGGTCACTCGCTGGGGAGGTCAGACAATGCTTCTTTTCCTGGTGGAGGGGAGCTCGCTTTAAAGATGCAGTACGGCTCCCGAAGTGAAGGTCTCTGTGACTGTTGAACTCCTTGCGACTGTTTAACTTTCCGTAACCTCATGCTTGGCTGACTACCCCCAAAGCTGGAATGCATATTAGCCCCACCCCCACCCCAAGGAGGTTAATGAATGTATAGAATGTCATCACTGTCCGATGTTATCTTTAACTTTCCTTTTAATGAGTGATTCATTGTTCTCTGGGGAAGTCCACGAACTACCCGCTATCTGGTTTTCCTATAAGCCCTGCTACGAACCCCCTGTGTCAAAGGGACCCTGGAAGGGGTGTGGCCTCTTCCTGGCCCGCCACCCCCGGAAGTAGCTGCTTTGCCCTTGTAAGTTTCTCTTCATGAAGCTCTTGGGAACTTGAATAAGGCTATGGGTCAGTTCTTCAGAATCCATACTGAGTTTAGACTTTTGGGGCTTTTCCCCAACACCTAGTTTTGCCTGGTATCTGGGACTTTCTGCCCTGATGTCCTTCTGAACCTGGCCTAGCGTCCCCGCTCTGCTCACATCTGTCTAACTGCCCGCTGCATCACTTGGTCAGTCAACAAACATTCCCTGAGGACCGACTTTGCCAGGCGCAGTCCTGGTTGCTGAGGATACAGCAATAAACAAGAATTGGTTCTTATCCACTGTCTTCTGGGGCAGGTAAGCAAGACAAGGGGCGACTCAACACAGGGAGGGAAGGAGGGCTGTGCCGAGGAAGGGACCCTCAGCCCGCCCACTCCCCTGACCAGCTGAAATGGATAAAATTAACACACGCTGGGTGCCTACTAGGGTGCCTGCAGTATGCTTGATGCTTACATGCCTTTCCCATTTAACCCTCGAAGTAACCCTAGGAGGTAAGTACTGTGATGACCTCCGTTTTACAAAGTGAAAGTGGAAGCACAGCGTGACACTAAGGCGACACCCACAAGATCAGGGAGCCGGGACCCCAGAAGGCAGCAATGTAAGGGACTCTTCGGCAGCCGCCATCTGGATGATGCTAGAACCCCTGACCCTGCCCCTGCCCCTGCCCCTGCCCCTGCCCCTCTCCTGTGCACATTACCATGGGTGTCTGCTGGTCCTCCGGAAACGTGTGGGGAGGGGCAGCCTTCTGGATGGTCTGGGGAGACAAGCTCTACCCATTTTACAGATAAGGAGACTGAGCCCCAGAGATGAACGTGACCTTTTCCAGGATCTCTTCCCAGAATCTAGCTAGGACCCTCTCGGGTCTCAGTGACTCCCCAGACCCCACATGGGAGCGGCGGAAGCACCTTGCAGACAGACCCGTTCTGGTCCCATCAGCCTGAGTACCTGGAGCGGCCTCCTCCCGCGCGCCCCGGTGCCACTCGGGGCTGTCACTGTCAGGGACTCCCCACCCCGCCATCACCGCGGCCCCAGCGACACACCCCCCCTCTCCCGAGCTGCAGCCGGGCCAAGCTCTGTTCCAATCGCGGCGATACCCGAATCAGACCCAGCGGGCCTGCGGGTAGGGCTCGGCGGGGCGGGCCGGCCGGGGCGGAGCGCGGGGCGGGGGAGGCTCTGGCGCCGGCCGCGTCCCGGGCTGGGTCGCTGGGTCGGCACCGCCGCCCTCGCCTCCTCGCCGCGCGCCTGGCCCCATGGACGCCCTGTGCGGCTCCGGGGAGCTCGGCTCCAAGTTCTGGGTAAGGAGGTGTCTCGGGTCCGAGAGCGCGCCCCGGCGAGCCCGAGACCGCCCTGGGGAGGGGGCCGCGCGCCGCCGGGAGGGGGTCTGCCCGCGCGCTCAGCGCCGCCCCTGGGGCGCCCCGATATCCCTCCCGCCGCGGGGGGGAGCCGGGCCGCGGGGCGCCGGGCGCCTGGGGCGCGTGGGTGGCGTTGGGAATCGGAAGGCGCCCCCTCTTGCCGCGTCGCCTGGGGCTGGCCGCGGGGTGCAGGAAGGGCATTTCCCCATTGGCCAGGGGCCTGGTGACCCCGTCCCAACGTCCCAGGGCGGCTGAGCACTCCTACACCTGCCCCGAGGGGCCCAGGGCATCCAGGGTTGTTGTTCAACCAGGGATTTGGGGCGGTTGGCTCCCCTGGACTCTGCCCTTCTTGTAAAGAGCTCCTGCCACCTTCTTTCCTGGGCCACCAGCAGCTGGAGAGCCGGTGGCCCTCACTGCCCTGGGCCGGGGAGGGAGGCAGCCCTCACTCGGAGGCAGGCCCTTACAGGTCCCAGGATTACCTGGGCCAGCGGCCGCCTACAGGTGGGAAGGCAGGCCCAGCGGGAGGCAGGGACTTGCCTAAGTCACCTCGTTAGAGGAACGCAGAGCTGGTCTAGAAAAGCGGCCTTTTGACGGATACACAAACCCCTTTCAGCGCTGACGCCAGGAGCTCAGGGGCATGCACTGTCAGCCCTGAGCTCTCCTGCAGCTCCCCACCCACTGAGGGCAGCTCCCTGACCTTCACTGCAGCCTGGGAGGCACGTGGTGCTGTGTCTCCATTGTACCGATGGGCTCAGGTGTAAAGGGCTTGTGGGTGGTCATCCAGGCAATGCCCGGCATAGGCTGGTCCCAAATCCGGGGCCTCTGGACCTCAGCTCTAAGCCCTTTCCCATGTCAAGTATTTGTACATACATGCCTAGTGTGTGTGTGTGCCCAGTGTGTGTTACATGGTGTGTATTTGTGTGTTTTTGTATTACCTAGGTGAGTGTGTGTGTGTGTGTGTGTGTGTACATAAGTGTGTACATACAGGCAGGTACCCAACCATGGGTTGAGTGTGGAATGGTCTGTGGGGGTTACATGGATTTTTGAAACTGGGCAATGGAACACCTGTAAAAAAAAATATATATATATATATATATATATATATATATATATATATATACACACACACACACACATATACATACACTGGTATGTGTATATCTATATATAGATATATCTATAGATATATCTATAGATATATCTATAGATATATCTATAGATATATCTATAGATATATCTATATCTATATATAGATATAGATATAGATATAGATATAGATATAGATATAGATATAGATATAGATATAGATATAGATATATATCTTTGGAGAATGTCTCTTTCTCTCTGGGTCACTCAAGGGTTAACCAGAGACGATGTTGCTTTTCTGGAGCTGCCCTTCTCGCCCGCCCACCCCACATGGACACCATCTGTCACTCAGCCTGGACTGGGCCCTCATTGCCAGAGTCTGATGGCTGCACCCTTGGCTCATGAGTGTCCCGCTGACCCTCATGAGTGTCCCACTGACAGTGCAGTGGTCAGGTGTGCTGACCACCCATGCAGCTGAAATCTGTTCATAACTTAAGTCGGCCTTCGGAATGCAGTACCTGAATTCCCAATCGCTAGTTAACCCTTAAGCAATGTGGGTTTGAGCTGAGTGGATCAACTAAAAATATTCTGTATCTAAGTGGACCCAGGAAGTTCAAAACCGAGTTATTCAAGGGCAAACTGTATGCCCTTTCTCTGCCCACCTGAGCCTGGCAGGGGTGGCTGTGGCATGGGCATGGGCATGGTGTGTGGGTGACCAAGCAGAGGGCTTGCAAAGCAAGGGGCAGACATGTCCATGCATCAAGTGCAAGGACCCCCTGTTCCTGGGTGGACAGTGAGAGCGTAGGACTGTACAGAGGCAAGCTTTCAGGAACTTGGAGTGGGATACTCAGGATTTCCTTCTTGTTCCAAGTGTAGAGATCCTTTGATGCTACCCTTCCATGTTATTGGAGAACTCAGGAATCAGAGCCTTGGGGCATGGAGCAGCTAGCCCATCCTCTCGATGTAGAGCTGGGGAAACTGGGTGCCAGGGAGGGAATGGACTTGTCAGGGTCACACAACAATCAATTGCAGGGCGCCGGTCTGGGAGCAGGACCCTGCGACGTGGTCTCCACTTTGCCATTGTCTGTCTGTGCGCCTTTGGGCTTCTGGGCCTCTTGCCCTGAACTTCTTGTGGCTCATGAGCTGTTTCTCTGAGGACCTCAGGGTTCCTGGGAGTCACCACATCTACACTGAGTGGCCAGATTATGATGATCTCTGAACGCATAATAATCTGGCCACTCAGTGTATATCCTATAGAGTACAAGGCTAATATGCAGTTTGTCCTCCTAGCCAGCAGGCAGGCCGGCCAATCGCCCATGTCCCCTCCCTCTGGCCAGGCTGGCCTGACCCCACCCATGCACAAATTCATGCACCAGGCCTCTAAAATACACACACACACACACACACACACACACACACACACATTGAGTGGCCAGATTATTATGAGTTCAGAGATCATAATAATCTGGCCACTCAGTGTATATTAGGTCTGAGGGATGTCATCTTTGTGGGGTGTCTGCTCAGATACCTCAAAGGACACGGGAAGTGACTCTTCCTCGCCACAGTATCTATACACCCTCCATCTCCCAATGATTTTCTTGGCTCTTGAAAGCTGTTCCCAGCTGCACCCAATGTGGCTGGCAACTGAGGGTGGGGCAGGGAGAAAGCAGGCAGGTTCCCAGCTCATCCTCTGAAGGTTTGCACAACTGAGACAAAGGGAGGGTCTGAGGCCAGGGGCGGCTGGAGCTGTGGCCTCAGCTCTGGCCCAGTTTCCCAAAAGGCCTGAACCCTGGGCTACGCATTTGTGGTGCGCTGATTTGCATTTCCTATTATGCAGGTACACCTGCACCAGAATCTTTTCTCTTAGGGGCTTGTGGGGGAGCTAGCTGGTGGGAAGTAGCTCGGGGCGCCCTGAGGCAAGAGTGGGAACCGGGGTGAGTGTAGGCATGGTTCAGGCCCCTCTGAGCCATGTGTTTCCTCTACCAAGTCTTCACCAGCTTAGCCTCTCAGCCTGTTTTCCCACCTGGGAAATTTCAAAATAACCCATCTCCTAACTATCTCTTGTAGAGATCAAATGAGATAGGGGAATGTGAAATGATACTGAGAATGAAAAAACTCTCTATGGATAGCAGGTCATGACATTCCTGGGAAGAAGAGTGATGAGAAAGAGAAATGAAGTCAGAAGGGAGTGTTAGAGCTGGCAAGACCTACAAGAAAGGGGCTGGCAGGGTCCCTTTTCAGCTCTTTGCTGGGGGTTTGGGGACCAGATGAATCTAGGGTAGCAGACTCAAGGGGACCCACACCTGTGCGCCCACACACCACGTACTGGGTGAATGGTTTGTCTTTTTTAAATCTCTCTCTCATCTCTACTTACTCTGGGGCAGATTACCAACGTCTCTGAGTGTGCCTTGGGGATTTATATAGAAAAAAATTCTAAAAGAATAAATTATGACCAAATTGCCCAAGGCTCGTGAAGACAGAGATGCCAATAGAACAAAGGAGGTGTTCCTTCGCTGCACCCTACTGTCCCCTGCCTGGAGGCGGCTCTCTGCTCTGAGCAGCAGCCCGGGGGTGAAGACAGTGCGTGGATGAGGCCCGGGCTGTTTACCCTCAGGAGGTCTTGACCAGTTTGCAGAATCAGCCTTGATCTGATGGCCCAGGAAGCCCCTGGGAGGCTGATGACAATCATCTGAAGGCCCTGGTCGGGAAGCTGTCCAAAGATGCCGATGTTTGCCTGATGGCAGTGAGCTCCCCCATTACGGGGTTATGCAAGCACATGGTTAGTGGCCATTTGTGGGGATGACAGAGAGAAGATTCAAGTCAAAGAAGGGGTTGGCGTCTCACCCTGAGATTCCAACTAGAAAGAGGGAAGATGTAGCCGAGACCGGTCTGGCTCAGTGGATGGAGCGTCAGCCTGCGGATTGAGAGGTCCCGGGTTCGATTCCCATCAAGGGCATGTACCTTGGTTGCCGGCACATCTCCAGTGGGGGGTGTGCAGGAGGCAGCTGATCAATGATTCTCTCTCATTGATATTTCTAGCTCTCTGTCCCTCTCTCTTCCTCTCTGTAAAAAAAAATTAATAAAAAATATATTAAAAACACACACACACACACACACACACACACACACAAAAAAAAAAAAAAAAAAAGGAAAAGAAAGAAAGAGGGAAGATGTGGCCAATGAGAGGTTGGCTGGTCTTTCCTCAGATATCCAGACCTCTCTCCCTGGCCCTCTCCCCGAGTCAGACATAGCAGCTCCTGGTAGAGGCCTCTGGGTCTCTCATGGGTCAGGGGTCAGCATGTTCACGGTCCCCTGGACTGTTTACCCACCCCTGGTAGTGGCAAAGCCCTCCCTGTGTCTCCTGCTCTGTCCCAGCTAGTCCCATCTGTCACCCACTGGAGGGGTGACTTTGGGCAAATGACTGTCTCTGGGCTCCCGCTGAATTGAGGTGGGCTCTGGGGCCCCCTTCAGGTCTGGTTGCCCAGTGCCGGTTCTGGGAGTCCGAGCCTCAGGCTTGGGGAAGGGGGAAGGTGGCCAGGCCATGGTTCGGCCCTCCGGACTTCCAGGCTCCTGGGCATCGCTGTCTCCCAGGCTTCTCCTCCTGGCTGCTTCCTCACCGAGTAGGCGGCTGCCGGAACTTATGAGTAATGGGCGAGACTGGCTCCAGTGTACTTTGACTCTCAAATAAAGACGGTGGCACGCGACGCTGTGGGAAACTGCCATCAGCAGGGCCCCTACAGGAGGCAGGTGGGCACCAAAGCTCCTCCCTCCGGAACCAGTCTCCCCAGATTCCAGGGCCCCTAGAACCTCCTGCCTCCATCCCAGCTGGGGACCGTGAACTTGGGGGCTGGATGACT